CAGTATCTGTGTCTTCATCGCCACTACTACTACTATAACTACTGCTGTCACGACTATTTTCAACCTCTTCTCTTTTTCTTTTATTCATCACCGACGAATTCACACTGTTCGCAACACTTTATTGTTCTAGAGGTCATATGCAAAAAAACAATAATACTCGGATTTATAATTCTGTTTAAGAAAATCGTGTACGACAGTTTCTTTAGATTTTACCGGCGAGATTTTGCATTTGACCAATTCTTTTTTGTTTTCTTTTAAAGCTTCGGTGATACTATTTTGTTGCTGATTACTTTCTTCTTCCGGTGTTTCTTCTTCTTCTTGTTTATTCACACTAGTTACCGTTACGCCACAGTTATGTATGTCTCTGGGTTGGTCGCGTTGACTGTGTAGTATTGTTTGTGCACAATCGTATAGTTGTTTTGCTTTTAGGCAATTGAGACATCGTTCACCACAAGCGCAGTTTTTATTTAAGGGGCAGTAGTTACAGTTAGACATTGTAGCTAGATATGTAGCCTATTTTTCGAACGCGTATTTTTTATAGAAAAAAATATATGACCATATTTGGGCATTTTATTTTTTATATAACATTGTGTTTGAAAAGAAAAAGTGTTCACAATACAATATGCTCATATGCGACTGTAGCGTGTGTGAAGTGTGGGAAATTGGGTGTGAAAAAGTCACATGTGAAAAAATTAAATGTTGTTGTGATGAATATGTATCGTTAACAACGTACAATGACGTGGCGTATTATATATGTGCCGATAAACATTATACACGTGGTGAATTAGGGGGTTATTTTTGCGGTTTTCAAATTGAAGCAACGAAAGAATGTCGTGGAATGCAGTATGTGAAAATTATGAACGATGTTGAAGAGTATATTTTTACATGTTATATCGAGATCCTTGCAAATGTGGCGTGCAGACAAAGGCGGTGCTAAAACGTATTAGTTATTCTACCCCGTCATATATGCGCGGGTGTTCCACTACAGATGAATTGCAGCTATTTTATGTGTGTGGGACGGGTTCTTGTGATATTGAGGAATCGATTCCTGAAATTATTGCCAAACGCCATGAAATAAAGTGTTTGTGCGGTAGACGCTGTATATATCAGTACGGTGTTTATAGTTGTCCAAAGGTTGGCGGCGGTTGTGGTGTTTGCTTTCACGAAATGGATTCTCTAACGTTTATGCATACGTGGATTGTAAATAAAGCGGCGGCGTTAACATTATACACACCACGGATATGTCATTTAAGATCTGTGATAAAATATGTATTAGAAAAAGAGAAATTGTGCTATGTATGTAGACACTTGCAAACATGTGGAAACATTTTGATTTATTTTATTAATATTAATAATTATTTACAGAAATGACATCCAAAAATTACCACCTTGTTGTGTTTTATGTTTTCCATCGTTTTCTACATAATAAAAGCGATATTTTTTAGTGTCTTCCTTTTATGGATAAAATTTTTTTTTAACGTCGCCCCCTACCTCAACGCGGACGTCTGGGAGGTGGGTAATAATACCCTTGAGGTTGATAAGGTTGATAGGGTCGATAACGCATTCGTTGATTACGTTCCATATTATTTGATTGACGTTGATTTACATTTAAATTTATGGGTTGTGATTTTGATTTTTTACCCCCCACCAAATAGACTGCTTAGAAAACCACCGTCTTGTTTTTTTTGCTTTCCACGTTGATATTTACTACCCTTAAAATTCCCACCATATTGATATCGGCGTCTTGGACAGTAGTTCACCATCTTATAATAGCTTTTGCAACTGAATGCTCGTTCTCTAAAATAGCATGTGCTTATATGGGCATATATATTTTATAAAAAAACCAACCGTATATTTAAACGTATAAACACGTTTTATTTCATTTTTACGGTTTTAAAAAAATGAAAAGAGTTCTTCTGTGTAATGGTGAGTGTTATTTTGTAAAGTTAAGTTTTTTAAAATTAATCAAATGTGACACAGATTGTGTGGTTTTTGAAGTGGATTATTTTACGCGTGTGGGTCGCTACGTACGTTGTACGGTAACTAAAGAATTAAATTCTGCAGAATTTCGTATCAGTTTGAATCGGCGTGCGGGGTGGCATCGAAATAACGACGATGTTGGTTTAAAGAACCGGTTGAGATTTTTTTTTCAAGAGTGTGATTATACATTTTTGCATTATCGAAATACTATCGATTATCGACAAACAGATATTGGCTATTATTTGGCAAAATATTATGGGATATGGTTCAGCGATGATTTGATATGGTATGCTTTACATTGAATACCGTATTCGATGTACAATTATAGCCAAAATTTAACCAATCTAAAATATAAAAAACAATACGATTGGGGTTATCAAAGCGACGCGTCATGGTGGATGTTCGTTTTACTAGCACTGTTTTGTTTGATGGGGAAGTACGCGATGTAGGTTATCATTTTGATTGTACATCGATAGATGGTGAAAAATATGCGTTTTATATCGGGTATGCGGGTGGTTATATACGTCGTACTTTTTCGGTATTACCCGAAAGAATCGTGGAGACACAACTTTATAATGGCGCATATGTAGTATATTCGAAGAGCAGTATGACACATTTAAAAAGACTTTTTTGTACAATTAGGGGTTATCGAACAGATGTTAAGAAGGCTGTGATGAACGAATATCTACATCGTGGCATCTATGTGACGTCTCGATTATATGATGTTGTACAAAATCTTGAAAAAAAAAAGGTGACATTTTATGAAGATACCTTTATAGAACAATACGGCGCCCGAATAAGATATGTTCCGGAATAAATTGTATTTTGAAAAACAAAAGGAGAAAAAATACCTATTATTACGCCCTTCGTTTACATTGTTGCATGAGGGTATTTTATACCCTGTCACATATGTATTAAAAGCGGATATTTTTCGAAGAACACCTACAAATTATAATGTAATACTTATCTTACGTAGTCACAATGAAAAAGTTGTGGAACATTACTTTGTTAACGGGACAACTGTGTTACGCACAACGCTCAGCACAGAAATGAACATGGTGGTAGGATTTGTACTATATATACCGTGGATGTTCGGTTCATGTTATTTTAAAAATATTAATATTATTAGAACATATTTTTTAAATAGAAATATGATTATTGACGATACCGTATTACCGTTTATCATATACGGACATCTATATAAGTGTAATATTAAGTTTCAACGGCGTTAGTTGTGTGTATGATATGCGTATGGTATGATGATTTTTTGTTTTTTGGAAAAAAAATGGCTATTTATACGACGACGTGTTGGCACGGTTTGGTAGAAGCTGAAAGCATGTTAGTGAGAGAAAAATTTAATGAAGAAATGACACGTTATCTTTCACTATATTGGGCACCTACTACAACGATTTTTCGTAAACACGAAAAAAATAGTGGGGAGATGTGTGATTTAATGGTGGTTTTATTGCTTGACGATAACAATAATTTTAAGAATATTTCGGGTTATTTTCGTTTGTTAGTTATAGCATATATGACTGTGACCCTATATGGTCATATTGCTTTTTCAACTTCTGACCATAAATGTTATTTTTTAGATAAAATAACAATTATCTATAATAAAATATGTGACCATATTAGGGGTGTAATCGCAAAAGAATTTTTTATTAATACTGCATTGATTGCGGGCGCAATTTATACAGTTTATAAAATAATCTTGTAAGAGTGAAAAATCACACACATCCTACAAGATGGCACAACCGCAACACGAAATAAACGTAGTTGAGTTATATGAGAAGCGAAATGCTTCACATGTTACAGAATTAGGCGCTTACGAAAATAGAACAAAAAAAATGTTGTGGTTTGAGCGATGGAACGAAAAATGTTGTATCGCTTCGGCATTGCCCACGTAAGGGGGTGATAAAAATTTATATAAAATGAAATTTGCCATGAGTGTTGACGAGCTTCGTACCGTGTATGAATGTCTTCGGACATGCAAGAAAGGAGGCACTCATTATTTCATCATCTCTGAATCTGAAGATTATCAGAAGAATTTAGTACGTATTGTCTTGAAAGACAGCAAGTACAAAGGTTTGGTTCTGACCCGTCTAAACGCGAGCAAACCTGCAGATGTTTTGATTGGGACCGTTCCCTCGGGTGACGAGGAAGAAGACCAATCACCGACCGAAGAACCCTTGCACGACGATGTGGAAGCGGATGTGGAATGGGTCGAACAGTGGGGGAAATGTTTCTTCTCCAAAAATGAAAATTGGCAATATGTGACTAAGAAAATTAACGAGTTCTTACTTGCTGTCCAGCATCAAATGGATGTTGATGATGAGTCAATGATGACACCCACACTACCCGAAATCCCACCGACACCCGCAAAGACCGCGAAAAGAAAAGAAGCGTCGGCCAAAACTTCACTCGGTAAACAATCCGCCTCACTCGGTAAACAACCTGCCAAGAAAAAACGCATCGCTGTTGAACCGAACGATGAAGAGGTAATAAATTTTGGACAATGGTATCAGGATATAAAATTATACGGTAGTTCGCACAATTTTCAAACGCGTGTAAGTTGGGTTGTTAAGCGGGTGTTGCTAAAGGTTTTGAAAGATGATGTTTCTTTTGAAGAAGCATTAAAATTGTATAACCCGCAAGGTGAATTTAATATATTATTAGATGATGATATAAAAGCGAATGTATTAGATACCAAAGCGCGCATACAACGAATGCAACAAGCGGCCGACATGTCTATGGGTAGTTTTACGGATACTCTTTTTCAATAAATTTTTCTTTTTTTAGTATCGAAAAGCCATATCACTTATTATAGCTGTGATGCATCGTGAAAAAATTAAAACATGCAAAGAAGCCGTATTGCTATATGCGCGGGACATGAACGACGAATATCCGTACAACTATCTGGATATGATTAAAAAAGATGAAAATGTAGATACAATAGATAATATGTATGCCGAAATGATTGCTAAAAACATGTTATATTAATTTTTATTTTAGTAACAATGGGAAGAACAAGACCCAATACAAATAGTGAACTGATTAAAAGAACATCGCGTTTGTTAAAACACGAACAATTAAATAAAAAACAGAAAGAAGCATATACGTTACATAGTAGGAAATTTACAAAATATAAACGTTTACCCATTAATGTATATAGACGTAATGCACAATGGAGTATTGATTTAGCAGATCTAAATAGTTTGGCAAGATTTAATAATCAATATCGTTATCTACTCGTGTGTGTGGATATTTATCCGTGTTACGCGTTCGTACAGGCGTTGAAAACCAAAACAGCTAGAAATGTTGCGAATAAATTTGAAGATATTTTGATAAAAGAAAAGGAAATCCCATTAAAAATTCAAAGTGACGAGGGGACCGAGTTTGCACTAATAAAAAGGGATTTGTGTAAAAAATACGGTTTTACACTTTTTCACACATATAATCGAGAAACTAAAGCCGTTCATGCCGAACGATTTATCGAAACGCTTAAACAAAGTATTACCCGCTCAATCACCGGATTAGATCAAGGTTATAAATATATCCAAAATTTGGCACTAATTGTTGAGCGGTATAACGAATCGCCTCATAGAGGGATATATAATTTAACCCCTTTAGATGTGTATAGACGCGGTAAAGAACCCGACGCATTTCAAAGGCTAAAAGCACTGTTGAATAGTCGCACGGGAGCTGTACAACTTTTAAAACAAGGCGAGCATGTGCGGATTGCCCGAATTAAAAATAATGTTTTTGAAAAATCAAGTTTAAGACGTTGGGTGAAAGAGAGATTTCGTATTAAAAAGGTGTACATATCCGACCCTGTCACGTATTCGCTTGAAGATCTGAACGGTGAGGAAATCAAGGGGATATTCTATCATAGCGAATTGCAAAAGATATGAACGTGCAAATTGTTAGTAATGCACGAAATCATGTTGGCGGTACAAATTATACCAACGATTTCGTTATGCCGCTGCCGACATTATTAGATGCCGAAAATAAAGAATTATACATGCGCGTCTTAAATTTATCATATCCGTTAACTATTGAAAATGTTCAAAGCAAGACATGCGGTGTACAAATTAAGTTGGTTTTTCCCACAACATCGGATTCTGGTATCGAAATTAAATTTAAGACTGATATGATGTATTTACCGGCGGGGGCCTACACATTGGAAAAACTTCTGGATACTTTAAATACGTTTGTTGCGGAATATGATGTAAAATTTACGTTGTTAAATAATGGTCGAATCGGCGTGACTTACAATATCGAACGAGAATATTGGCATTCAAACACGCATATAAAAAGAGTTACGACAAAACCGCCACATCAAGTATTTCAAGCTTTTTCCCAAAATACCGCTGAGGGTGATGAATTTGAAATGATGTATACCAAATCTTTGGAATATATGTTAGGTTTGCGGAAATTAATAGTTCACCCCGATGTGGTTGAAACAAAATTGGCATGGGAACGTGGATCTTTTTTTTTCGCAAATCATTTAAACCCTCCCCATAATTTGTATCGCTTCATGAATAAGACCAACGAGAGTGGCGACAACAATTTTGCTTGTTCTTTCATGGGTGAAGCCCTTCCGGATATTTCCAACGGCATCGATAAAATGTTCGTATATTGCGAACAATTGGAAATGTCTATTGTCGGCGATACATATGCGCCCTTGTTAGCTATTGTACCGTTAAAAGGTAAAGATCGTGGTAGCGGTGCATTGTGCGTGTATACGCCGCCGAGTACACGGCATAAATTAATCAAAAGTAAAATCGATCAATTTAAAATTACTGTTTACGATACAACACATACATTGATACCGTTCAGTAGTGGTACCATTAATATTGAGTGCGTAGTGGAATAAGAAAAAAAATGTTGAAAATCGAACTTGAAGTAAAGGCGATCCGTCCTAAAGAACTTGTACCGGTTAAATATGAATACAGTTCTGAAGTTAAATCGCATATATCGCATAAAACAATGTACTATACTGTCGCACATGTTACTGGTTTACTAGGGGGTTATAAAATATCTGTTGCACGAAAAATGAACGTTACCGATAAACTGACAGGTCGTGAAATAAAAGTACGCGGCGGTACATTCTACGATGGTAAAGATTATGGTGCGGTAACTCGCGGAAAACATGTCATTCACTATTATACGCTAAAACGATATTTATTATTTGAACGTTTTGAACAAGTGTCAAATAACAGGATTGTAATCCCCGTGTCGAATTCGACAGTTAAAACACCGTTACCCCATTGTTTATTAACCGTACGAAATGTTGCAGATTTAGCGGATAATGTAAAATTTATTTTTGAACGTACAGCGGGATATACGACGGATATTTTTGCTTTAGCAGCCAATGTTCAAAATCGGTCAAAATTAAGTATTATTTTAAATATATATGATGAGATATAAAAAACTAATCATTTACGATGGAGCAGGCAGACTATGTGAAGCTATTAAAAGGAGGCGGTATACGTTATAAGGGGACAAGTTTGTATATGTTACCGGGTAAAGCATCAACAGTTGAAGAACGTGCTGCCGGTAAAATTTGTGCACCGCCACAATTAAACCCGTCCTACGCTACAAACCCAAAAATACAAAGGGTGGGTAAAATAACAGCGAGTGCCCCTAAACAACAGCCGACACAACAACAACAATATCCGGCGGAAATTTTAAAATTAATCTATGGGTAGTAAACGAAGAATAGCTAATAAAAAGGGTCGAAAAGTTCAAAAGGGGAAAAAAATTCAACAAGGTGGTTTTGGACCCGCTGCAGGAATAGCGTTGGGAATGGCCTTACCCATGCTATTAAATACGGGTACAAGTGTAGTGGGTAGTATTTTTGGTAAAAAACCCGCTCAAAAACCTGTACAAAGTATGAATCAAGGAGGTAATAGACCGCCGCCCTCATGGATGTATGATAGACCGAGACCCCGACGTTCCAGACGACGTCCAAGATATTTATACGACGACGATTATTAATTTGTAAAAATAAAATTTAATAAAATATATTTTTTTAAATAAAGTGTGTGAGTGTTTTTTTTTTTAAAACAGATTCTTTTTAAAATAGTTTCATTAGTTGATTGAACATCGTGAAGATGAAACGTGCAAGACAATCACCTCCGGATGCCGAACCTGTTGAAGAACATGATAGTGGTTTTGTTGGGCCGATGTCATTATTTGACACATTCCCCCATAATGATACATTTGCTGAAACACGTACTTTAGAGTTACTACCTAACGCTACTACCGAGAATGCTGAAATTTATACATTTATGCATAATCGTCAAGATTATGGTGTAATTGATACAGTTGATGCAAAAATATCAGCAAAGTTACGTGTTGCTGTGATAGCCGGTGGGGCAGCACCCGCCGGTGATCGGAATATATGTGTTAATATGGCACCGTTACGTTACGGGTGGAAAACAAAAGCTGTATATTTAAATAATCAATTAATTACACCGCAATCAAGTAAGGAAAATGAACTTGAATTTACACATGATTTTCTAACCACCGTACCTTCAGAGTATCTCGATGATAAAAATATTAATTTAATGATCCGCGATACACCAGGCAATATGGATACAATCGCAAATATCCATGATGGTGGTGCGGGTAATGATAATCTGGGTGCTCGAGCAAGATATAATAAAATAAATACAGATGAAGTATTTCGATGTATTGATAGAATCGATGTATTGGGGCGTGTTAAACGTTACGTGCCTACGTCAGTTGATATCAAAGTGGTTTTAACACGGCTGGATGAAAATAAAATGTTGTTTGGTACAGCGGCACATTGTAGATTAGTGGAGCTACTTATGGCAGATTTGAAATTAGTCGTTCCGATTTTAAAACCCAACGCTCAATTATCGGCCGCAATCAATGATTTGATGATTCAAAAAGGTGAAGAGTGTCGATATTATCGTATTTCACATCGTTATGTTGCAATCCCAATTCCTGTGAATAGCCGTCACATTCAATACAAAGATATTTTCAATGGTGCAAGACCGACACGTCTTATAACAAAAATTGTATCGCAAGACCGTTACAACGGCTCGTATATATTGTCACCGTTTTCAACCCCGTTCCCCAATATCTCTCGTTTCACTGTAAGCATCAATGAAGCTGAAATACCGCCGGTAATTACTTGCTCCCAAGAGGCTTACATCAATTTACGTCAAATATTTGATCGACGTCATAGTGAAATGCCGTGCACGTATGATGAATATGTATCAGATTATGGTATGATTGTTACAGATCTATCACCAAATCGTGATGGTTTTTCACAAGTTTTACCTAATTCAACAAGTGGGAATTTAGGTGTGAAAATTGATTTTGCAGATGATACAAATGTGGCACAACAACTCATTTGTATGGGTGAATTTAGAAATCAATTAAGCGTTGGTTTTGGCACACAAGCACGTTTAAAATATGATGTATAAGTATTAAAAAAACATTTCTCTACAAGAATGGCGAAAGGACGTTGTTGCGCAAATCGATCGCGTAAGAAAAAACAAAAAGGTGGTCGGGGAACGTTATATTACGTGCGAAAAACTTTTACACCAAAACAAAAGGGTGGAAATTTTAAAATTGCAGAAAAAGCTTTTAAACTTGGAGAAAAAGCAAGAGGATCGAAAAAAAAATTCAAAAAGGAGGCTTTAAAATGTGGGATATTTTTGGGGATGCTTAAAATGTGGGGTATTTTTTTTTTTCGTCCAAATTAAATAATTAAATAAATTTTTTCGTCCAAGATAAGATGTATTAAAATCACATGTAAAACACGTTTTCTGTCATTACAACATGCCACGACACGCTATCATGAAGAAAGGTTTAAAACCCGGTCCCGCTAAGAAACTCGAATCTTTCTTGAGAAGACCGCGACCGCCGAACACAAAAATTATTAGCAGTAAAGGGGTGAATATTCAAACTATTCACATACATAGTGTAATTTCCAAATATGGCTGAAAATACGGAATTTATCGAAAATGCTTTGTTATGCGATAACGTTAACTTGACGGGTTACGCCGATACTGATGATGATGATGGGCATGGTGATGTTGATGGTGATAACATTGATACCGCTAGCGATGTTACTACGGAAAATGTTAATAATGATGATATTGTCGATGTTGACGAAAATATTTATTCATTTGATGGGCATAATGGCATGCAGGATTCAAATATCGATGACGAAAGTAAATTTGAGGATGTTGAAATTGAGGAAGAGGGGTTGGATGAAAAAACAATACAATCCTTTTTAAAACAATTAATTCAACTACAAGATCAGGCTGTAAAAAAAAAGAAGGAGAACCGTCTTATACCCTGTGTGGCAAATTTTCTGAAATTAGATTTAGATCAGAAAAGCGAACAAATTACCCCGACCATTATAAGACATCTGCTACATATAACGCAATTAATTGTACGTAACAAACTCGACATTAAAATAGATCATGGTGATCGCGGTGTTTTAGAATATATCACGAGTAAAGATTGTCCAAAAAAAGATATAAAATTTACGTTTGTAGAAAATATGCGCATTCACGGTTATATTCGGAAAGCCATTGCACAACTGCAGACGATCAAAAAAGATCATTTGAAAAAAAATGGGCGACGAAGTCAAGCGGTTAGCCCTGATAGACGCAAATAAGTTGAATACCCTGATGGACATGCTTGCTAAAAATAATTCGCGGCAAGAATTGTTGAGTGATGCAAAACGTAGTGCCGAGGAAGCGGGTCTTATTGAAAGTCGTCAGGAGGTTCAAAAATCTGTTAAAAATAATGCTTTAACAGCAGGTAATGACATTATTAATTTTTTAAGAAAAACTGAAAATTATCGAAAATCAGTTGGTCTTAATCAAACCGAGGAAGATGAGGGGGTGCCCGACGGTAACAAACCCGTACCCGCAACAGTGGGGCCTTCAGGTGCGGGTCATAAACCGGGAACGGTTGCTTCTTCAACTGAAAAAATTGAAGAACATTTTCGTAAAAACGGCGTAAAACCTATACCGCAGGGTATCAAATTTGCAGATGGTCAACTTGGTATATCATATCAAGATATGATAGAGGATTTAACACACGCAACTATACGCAAACACAACCAAATTTAAATGACGCAAATCGACACAAGGTATTATTACTATTACGAAAGACCAATATGCCAATTTCATACATTCGAAATAAAAGAATTAAAGAAGAGTACAAAACTATTTTAAGTCAAAGCAATTACACCCCCGTACGACCCATATCACGTCGATTGCCTCAAATTGTAGGAAAAACGACGCCGACGGTGACACCCAAACGACCTGTTTTACGTGGTAAAAGAAGAAGGGGTTATCTTTCGGATTAAATAATGGTGTCGTTAACTTGTTTCATAAGTAAATTCTTAAACACCGACGACATCGATCAATTAGCCTGTGAAAATGCCATTGTAAAACCCCATTATCTGGGTTGTTATCCCGCCAATAACTATCCGAAAAATGTCAAAGATCGTTGTTGTTGGGTGTGGAATACGGACGAAGATGATAAACCCGGCACGCATTGGGTCTGCATTGTAAAGGATCGTCAAGATATTGTATTTTTTGATAGTTTCGATAAAACACCTCGTTTTTTTGGTCGTAAATACTGGCTAGATTATTTTCGTAGTTTACGGTGTAACTTTTCTGTTTACACGCGTCTGTTTACACGCGTCAACTACCGCATCAAGCGTATATTAGCAAGACGTGCGGCGCATGGTGTTTATTATTTCTAAATAGTTTTTATAGTAACGATAATATCATCGATATATTTTCCGTCAAACAAGAAGAACTTTTAGATAACGAAAAGAAATTAAAACAATTGGTATATCATCAATACCCGAACATGATTAATATATATAAACGTAAATGTAGTAAAGTTAAAGGTCAAATTTGTAAAACATATTTAGAAGCATTTCATCAATACATGTAATTTGTTTATGTATTTTTTATTAATATATTTTTTTTATATTATACAAATTGTTTTTCTGTATCGTAAATTATCGTACATTCATCGGGTAATATACCCGTTCGAACACGTGCATTGGCTGGCGAATGAGGACATCCGTCAAACAACACATATCCGTATTGTTTTTTACCGACATCTGCCAATATTTTTCGTATCATAGGCAGACGGATGCCCTTATTTCGCGCTATCAATTCGATATCTCGAGTATCAGTATGATTATTAAAAACAAGATGGTACATGCTGTTTACCCACATATTTCGTAATTTGCCATTACCATAATTTAAATTTTGACATACAAAAAATACAGAGAGATTTAAATGATGGCTGTCACGTGTCGCTAAATTGTTTAAGTTTTCGGTATTTTCCTTACTCGACATTGAAAAAACCATTAGGTCATCGAGAACTAGTAGGGTGCGCTGACCCAGCAGTGGTCTTATATTCTCTATAGTGGGTATACCCAATCGTGTACAGTCGTAAAATTTGCATGCTTTAAGTGCGGATGTCTGATGTTTTGCAGCAACAAGGTCTGTAATTTGTGCATATATCGGTTGTTCAGCTGTGTATAAGTACAGTAGTTTGTCAGGTGTTGGTACAATCAGTTGGTCAATGTTCTTTATTATTTCGACCATTAACTGTGTTTTACCCGATTGCGTTGGTCCACATATTGTCATCATGAAAGGATGTTGAAAGGGTAATGTTACATTATGTACACAATCAGTGTTTGTTTTTTTCTAAAAAAGAGTATAAGAAAATTATTTATAACCGAAAGGTGTGGTGGTAAAATCATCATGCACGACACGCTTATCGAATGTGAATTTAAATTTTTTCACGTTTTGTTGCACGGAAATACTCTGAGTATTTTCCCGAACAAATTCTCGATAGCTAATCTCGATTTCTTTTGAAGTATCTTGCACGCACTCACGAATGCTATCGAATGTTAGTAGTTTTGCAGCATCCCCTTATAATGAAAAACCCTTTACGTGTACAATTTCATCTTATTGTTTGCTTTCGCTACCGTCGTCGTTGTACCGCGTATAAACATTCGTACGATACGAATAGGATTTCGGACCTGCCGAACAAAATTGCTCAATCCATTTTGTGCTTGTTTTCTTTTCAACTAACTCATCGGTCATTTGACCCAAATATTCGCTGGTTTCCAAATATTTCCCGTTTGCACGATCCTCGATAAAAATTACCGAATCCGTATCATAATACAGAACATTCGAGCCTAATTTAAGCAAATATACTAATAATTCCAAACGCGAATACGCTGTGACAAACGATGCAATAATCACATTGCGGTTGGGTAGTGGCGTTAAACTAGCTGTTTTTCTGTGGGTCGTTCTTGCAATATTACCGCTAATAAAATCTAATGAGGTTACATCCACAGTGCGGTCATTTACTAATTCTAACAAATCGTCCATGCTTTCTAAAAATGACACAACCGTAACATTTTCATTTTGGGCCAATTTACCCCACAAGGAATTCAATAACGCTTTCATAACTGTTCTCTGACCGGCATTATAGCACATTTTATCGGACTCCAAAAGAACCCCCTCATGTTTTAGATAATCGTCAATATACTTCTGCAACTTTTCTTTTACAACCGCACCGTCTTTGTCTAGACATTTTTTTGGAACCCCGCTACTTTCTTGCTTAAGTTTTATAAATGTATTTACATATTGATCGAATATTTTCTCACGTTTCTCATAATGATAAATTTCATAGACAATTAAGATATGATAATCTAATTGTAGGGCTTTCTGAATTTCGATACTTGTCCACGTGCCATATAGTGCACGCTGTTCGTCATTGTGATCACATCTATCACGTTGCTGTCGTAGCACACACGTACGACACAGGGGAAATGTTAATTTCTCTGAACGAAAGGGCAATACAGGAAACAATAAGTGTGTCGGCGGAAGAATTTTACACTTAATTAAACCAAACACGTGATTTACGTCGATGTTTTGACATGCGAGACCATGAAGGATGACCGGATGTTGCGTAGGATATTCAAATTTTTTCTGCACATACGGGTAAAGAGAGCATACGTCGAAATACATCGCTGGTAAACCGCTGTGCTTCATATCGTAATATAACGTTGCGGAAGATGTGCGACCGCCAAAAAGTGCGTCACGTGGCTCCAGTTGGATGAATTCAAAAAATGATGTTAGCTGCAATTGTTTTAAACGATACGGTGTCATATCAACATCGTTACGATAATCACATTCCCATTTCTCAATAACCGTATAGCCGGCTTGTCGAAACGTTCTCGACAATCTTTGCGTGCTAGCGAATAGTGTAAAAAATTTCTCACACAAAACGCTATTGTAACAATCGCCATCGTAACAACGATCACAACCGTGATAGAAACACCCGTGAAACTGATAAATTGTTTTGGTCTTTTCACAATACCCGTCGACATAACGCACGCCTCACCCCCAACACTAAGCTTACTGGTCAATCTTAGATTATTTTCATTTAGCGTTGTTTCAATATCTTTCAACCAACATAGGGCGATTGCACTTTGGTTAATATTCTTACCCCCATAACCGCATGCGGGTACTTGTCCGATTTGTTCCTCTTTTAAAAATTTTTTGCGATATATTTTTAGAGCCAAACCCGCCACAGTATTACATGTGCGGTCGTAAAAGGGTAATACACCCGTAATCTGATGAATAAGTCTCGAGAATATAATGCAACCCTGTCTCAAGATGTCAACATCCAGACGACAATAATAATATATCACCTTGCGAAAAACATACGTTTACTCTGTTGCTGTTTATACCACTTATCAAAAGCTTTTCGCTCTTTACTGCCCTCAGGGGGGAGTTCAAAATATTCTAACCCCACCATGTCGCCGACATAATTTAAATCCGTAAACAAATAGGGGTGGTAACCCTTCGCCATGTTTTCAATCCCCAAAGCTTCGGGAAATTTTGCTAACCTCATCGAAAGAAATAAATAGCTGTCGATTAGTTTTAAATTACGTTCTTCCAACTCCAAAGACATCACCTTACTCCTGTTCATTACAACATCCGGTACAAGTTTACGTTGAATTAATAATTCGCGCATTAAAAAAATACTGTCGAATCGACCGCCGTTATATGCCACCCACACACTATTTTTGGGTTGCGACATCATGAAATCAACCAAATCCGATACAATATCTTCGTTGTTTTTTTCAAAAACATATTGCCGATGACCGCAACAGAGTACCGGCTCGACAGAAATATCGACAAACGGTTCGGTCGGGTGTGGTAAAAAATGCTCGTATTTTTTTACAAATGGTTTTTCATCGCAGACTTTTTGAACGACACAATAAAACGGTATCATATAGATATCACCCACATTTACGCGTGTTTCAAAATCGTAAAAATACATTGTGGGATGCGTTACATTTTTATGGTCCTTTACGGGTTTGATATAACAATGATGATCTTTTTTTTAACTTATTACAATGTAGACAGAACATTCGTCACATTTGTATACCCTTTACTAGCTGTAATTGTTTTACGCATTACCGATTTATAACACACGGCACAGAAAAAAAAACGTTGACACAGTGTTTCGGTTGTCAGTGACCCATTCACATATGTTTTAAATACTCTTTGCAATAAATGTTTGGCGAAACAATCGGGATTATAAAAAATAATATCGCATATCGTACACTGTTGTACAAAACCCGGCACGGAGACACACTTAGTCGTATTACTATAACAACGGTGACATGTCAAACTCGATATACACACGTGCGTACTTTTTGTTTCGTGTCGTCGGAAATACCGCATGCATGAAAAACAAAATTTCGACAGATTTAAGCGCGCAAATGTATATGGTGACGTCACTAGATCATAATGTTTATCGTTTAGCCATAAAAATAACTTCGTTTGTAACCCGATGCAAACGTTGATCGGGACCTAATCGAGAATTGTAAACAATACTGTCCGCCTGTTGTTTGGAAAAAACAACTAAATCTATCCCGTCACACTTCAAATATTTTTCATACACATCTTGTAATTGATTAACACGCACAGGGGCCCCCACCGCTAACCCGCTAGTCATATACACGTTTGTAATGGTGTCGTCTGTATATATGTTGCTTAAAGGTAAATTATTGTTTCTTTTCAGTTTGTATGCTGCAGCATCGTCGTGTAAATAAGATTTACCCACTAAGAGTGCTAAACCTAAACAACAATTTTTAACATTCGAACTGCCGATTTGAAAAACACCATGACGCACTTTGCGACCATGTTTTAACGCCACGCTATTTTTCTTACCGCTACCGGATTCCATGGTGTTTTTACCAAAATATTTGTACAGTTTGCTTTGTTTTTTTTTCTTTTTTACACGTGACGTTTTTTACGCGAAATATAATTATTCGGAAAAATGTACAAACTAACGGTGGTGTTCCAACCATTATTAATAATCTCTTCTGCATTGCTTTGCATATGTTTTTCAAAAATATTAAAAAACAGTTCGGTTGTAAAATCAGTTACAGTTAATACACATGTGGAAAAAGGAGTGCGCGGTGTGTTCGAGATAAAAAATCTTGCCTTGTCCGTATTCGTCTGAGCATAATATAACATTGTATTAATTAAATAATCAAAGACACTACGTAAATTTGCAAAAAAATCGGGTAGACTCCCCATATGCTCACTACCCACATTAACATCGAATATATATTCGGTATACCCAAAACGTTCATGAATGCGTATTTGTCGAACCGAAAACGATTTTTTTGACACATTCACATTTTTATGTGATTGGACAAGTGCTGCTAATTCTATAATGTCACGATCTTCTATATTATAATTACGTTTTTCTTTATATAACGTTTTTGTTTTTTTAACCATTTCAGCTAATTTACTTATTTTCGAACGTTTATTATTTCTAGCAACAACCATCTTAGCGATTTCCTCAATATTTTGTTCACGTTTTTCTCTATCTCGTTCATTAAACAATTTTCTCACCAATTCGATTGTTTTTCGATTGACGACTCCTTTTTGTCTTTTATTGGGGTTTTTCTCCCCCTCGTCACCCGCCCGTCTTTTTCCACCACCCTTCGACGCCATTGTATACAGCAACAATTTGTGGTTTTCACATTGTCTTCATCGTTGTTTTCACCGTCTATAAAATCCATCGAAATATTATCACTGTCTCGAATTTGTACCATATTACAATTAAATGTCACCCACGGTGTATCTTCACCACCCTTAAAACATTTTTGACCCATTTCAATCACACGTGTTGAACAAGCAACATCCAATTAAAGAATGAGCAAATTTGAAATACATATCTCAGTACATATAAAAAATGAATTGGCCAAAAATTATCGCGAACTTTACAAAATAGGTTATTAAGTGACCGATGATGACAAGTGCATTATTTTTACACCTACCATATTTATAGAGGCTTTTGCATCTTTTGCCAAAGATCAAGATCTCATATATAAAGTGGAACCGGACATGTTACGCCAGAGATTGTTGTTGTTTGAGATTGAATCACAGGTGCCGTCAGATGTGGTGACTAAAATTGAAAATATAATGAAATATATCGAACGACATTACAAAGATTATATTGGCGTAACTATAGTGTATGCGGAATAAGTAAAAAAAATGAGCGGCCGTTTTGTAACAAACTTAAAACAAAAACGTTTACATCAACAAAGTATTCGAAAATCAAAATAGTGTATTAGCGATACATTATTACAAAAACGATGTTGTAAACGAACAGCGCACACACCAAAATGTTGGATACATTTAGCTAAACAGGATAATCTGCGAATTAAACCTTCGGGAATTCAAAATGCTGGACAAGGATTATTTAGCTGGAAAAAACCCATACCGCCGGGACGCGTAATTTCGAAATACACCGGACGACGTCGTACTCGTGAACAAATTGATAGAAAATATGGTAAAAGTGTCGCCAAATATACCATATGTAATCAAAAAGGGTTATGTGTCGACGCAAATCATACAACAGATGCCGCGGCTAGATTTGCAAATGATGCTAGAAATACAAAATTTCATTATAATGCCCATATGCGGGGTAATCAAATGTTTCGATTAAAATCCTCGCAACGTATCTCACCACATTCGGAAATTTTTGTTAACTACGGTGACGACTATTGGTTATAAAAACATCTGCAGCTATTAAAACATTCATATTTTGTTGGGAAACTACGCGTACGCACAATGTCGTTGTAGTAGTTGTAGTTGGGATCGGAAAATAATGCGGGAAGACCTCGTAGAATTAGAAGACAGATGGGTGGAACGGCGGCAGCTAATCCCGGTGATATATTACAACAAGCCGTTGCGAATGCCGTTATAAACGGTCGAAAATACGCTGCTAAACAAGTAAAAAGGGCAAAACGTAAAGCAAATCGTGTAGCCCGCGAAAACAGACGCAGCAGAACAAGACGCAGTGGTATTATAAAACAAGAAGGCGGGGGTGTACGAAAACCAGTTAATCATATGCCTGTAGTTTATCAATATCATCAATAAAAAATTACATACCTTTTATCCGTATTTTTATATCTTGTTGTCCTGCTTTTCACCGATGCGCACAACGACGTGTTTTATATATCTGTTTCACCGATGCGTTATACGACGTGTTCTTTTTTTGCAAGAAAAGATACTTCATAAAAAATCGGTTCTATTCAGATTCAAGCTCGTTCGCTACTTGCTTTTTTACCCAATTGCACTCGCTACTAAACCGTGAAGCTGTCACACCCCCATACTTATTAATTTTTATAAATGGTTGACCTGTCACTCATATGTGACTTTTTTAAACTTTGCACGCTTATACGTGAATAAATGCATACTGCAAATATTCATAATTGGATTAAAAGAGTTACAAAGTTAAAAAATCATTTTATTTTATTTTAAATTTTGCGCTACGAAATAAGAGATACTGTTGCAGTGACAGTATCTTCATAACTAAAGATTAAACATTTAACCAAACATATATATATATATATATATCTATTAAAATGTCAACGACCAAATAAGGGCATGTTTCGTTTTTCCATTTTTTTTCGTAACATACTTTTATATTTACAAATTTGACGTGCACCCTCTAAATCACGATAACTAAAATCACATCTCTCACAATCCTCATAATGGGTTAACGCCTTAATATAAGGTTTCATATATTTTACTTCGTTTGTAGTTGTTCGACCCCCAAACCCAATCGGTGTGTTTGAACATCGTGTGTCAGTGTAACTCAAACCGTAGCATTCGCAGACCACATACAGCCGCACCAGCATTAATACAATCGGTCTTTTCGCCGTGAGCAATGCTGCCATATATACGCGTTGACTTGAAAACATCTGTCGAACAGCTTTCTTACTCATGCGTTGATTATACTGCAAAACCCCATATATTTTCATACCCCATCTCCCCTCCATCTTTCTTAACCCCAATCTATTGGGTATGGCCACGTAACGATAGTAGCATAATTCCCCGTCGTCTAAAAATTTTTTCAAAACTGTTACAACTTTTGATTCTTCGACAAATGTTTCAAAATAATGGGTTTTAGTTGATGTCGCCATTATGGTATAATAATTGCCAAGAAAATATTATCGTCTTGTTGTGCAGATAATTTTCGAACCGTAAAACAATGAATAAAATCCTCAAGATCACATTGTTTTAAACGACACACATTAAAGAAACGAGCAAATTGAAGTAAATCATACGATGACCTTATAAGGGCATACCCTATTATTTCGCCATCGTATCTTAATATATACGCGTCGTCTAATTGTAACATGTCATAAAATAGTTTCCTGATAAACATTTTTTCACACACGTTTTCTAACATACGATGTCATAAAAACATCCACACGTTCACAAGGGGTCTCAAACACGTCAACTACCACCCCATAAAAAGCTTTATCCCTCAAACTATCAAAATCAGCATCTAATATATGATGCAAAATAGGTAAACCTATAGAATTACAATCGTCACAATCTAATTCATCATGTGCGGGAAATGGGTGTTCTTCCACACTTTGATCTAACAGCGATAAAAAATCTTCAATATATCTAATACATTTCTTGCATACTAATATATGTGCTAAATATTTACGAATATTCATACCTATCTTCTTTACTAAATGATATACGTACGTGACTACTGGTTCGTCATTTTCGTTTTTTTCATTTATCATTTCTTCACGATAGTAATGTAACGATTTCTCGCCACTATCCAGAGCGACCAACATCTCCCCCATATTTACATATAGTCCCGTCTTTAAATGTTTCATCATGGTCGTTAACCCGACATACAACTGAACCCCGGCAAACACTTCGATCTCTGAACTATCGCTACACTCTCCCGAACCGACGTGAAAATAATGCTGGTCTACATAATAATCGCGGGGTAAACTTAAAGACTGGCAACGTACCAATTGTGTTTTCGAACGTATTAATACTTCGCGACAGCAAAACGTATAGAGTAATAACACAAACAAACCGTCCCGAACACCCAATCGCGGGATCCATTCAACGGGTATATTATATAATTTTTTCCCTTGCGCACCGTCCTCATCGACACCAACAACAGCCATTCGCGGATTTTTCTCCCATTCCAGCTCTGGAGTCTACGGATTATCACTTTTCACCATTTTCCCCGCACCTTCCTGATCATCAACAGCAATAAAATCACGTATGGTATTAAAACCGCCTTTCAACCAACATTCTTTAACTGCCGAATAATGATTAATTTTTATTTCCTTAACCAAATTTGGTTTGCAACCTCGTAAATAGCTGCATGTAGAATACAAATTCCACAATGTTGGATTATAGAGTTGTTTTATTAAAAGATACGATAGTGCTTCGACAGCTAACCACGACATCCTTGCGAAATAGAACGCACAAACTGCGCAAACATTTTTACTTCATGTTTTGAACAATGAAAATGGTTACCCAGGTGATAACGACAACATTCTTGTGATTGACCAAATATGGTCAATAGGTCTGCATACTTGGGACATGACAATACTTCAAGATTAATACACCGCACCCCCATATTATTCAACAGGTTACGTTCAATGTCACAGCCCTTATATATGCCACTAAATCAGCGGCGCACATAAATTCATCTGTTAAAAATTCCATAGATTCTTTTAATGTATAAAAATCATCTGTTAAACGTTTATGAACGATAGGTAAGCCATGAATTTTATTTATTTGATAATCAATCGTATAGCAATGCTCATTAAACGGTACAAACGGCATATACACCTGAAACGACGAACATTCGCCGGTTTTTACCCTATAAACTGATATTTCACGAAGAAATGTCTTTTTTTTATTCATATATGCCTCACAATCACGCGACGATTTTTTCAACCATACCCCTTTCATCGTGAGACATCTGATTATGTTTTCTTTGAAATAACCCCTCCATAGCCAGAATACGTATACACAACTAACAAACTCTTTTCATATACCAACTCTTTTTATTCAATTTCTATAATAACTCTATCAATCTATGTTCACAAAATAACCTTAGAAAATGTAAATTTGTCTTTTTACAAATACAACAATTGTTAAACTCCAAACACAAACATTTTGTACTATCTAACCAATACATATTTTTTAACATTTCTTTTAATATACGCTGAAGACCGTATATAAAATCCGAAGATACTACAGTTCTATATGCACGAGCTATTTCTACCCGCACCCTATCAATAGTGTCAGAATCATCCGAAAACAAAAATGAAATATTGTCTCTAATATAACACATAACATTTTCTACCAACGCTAGATATGTAGTTATTTAAAAATTCGTTGAGAATCACAGATTCCATACATTTTTGAATGCCTAAACATTGAATACCCATTGTATCATACATCACATGCCCAAAACTATTTATAGTCGGGATATATTTTACATCATATGCAATATGAATATGTGCAAACCCGTCTAATGTTTGAAATGTCAATCTATACACATAACCATGATATGTCCTATGCAGTTCCGTAATATACAACCAATACTGAACATCAGGATATAATTGATCGTAGGCATATAATGTCATCGTCGAGTGTTGCAAAACCGCAGGTTTTTTAAATTTACATTGTTCCAAATAGCGGTGTAATATCCAACCGTGTTTATCTCGAGGTGGTAAAATACACCGCATCGCTGACCAATAATCCGGCATCTTGAAAATATAATTGTCTACACTTAATTACATCGCGTCGAGTGTACAACCCGCAATGACAAATCTGATCGTTTCGCGTACAGCCACAATTCGAAATTACCCAATCCTGTACAATTCGTACCAACTTTTGATGATAGATCAAAATCTGAACCAAACGTGTTGACAGAGCTATCCCGTGATCCGTTTCAAAATCTGTGACCAAAGAAGTAAAACAATCTCTCTGATAATTTTCGTTAATATATGTGATTAGAGTATCTACTATGCCGCTAACAAATTGACGCGCTTCATTGACTGTTAACGATCTTTCTACCCGATCGTCATTTCCATAATCAATATGAAATTCTGTACTGTTAAATGTTACAGCGGGTAAATATATCGGTACAACAGATGAACGTTGAGCTTTAAACGTGTCAGGATAAATGCGATAATCAATATCCAATTCGGCATAGATTCCAAACAACCAATGTACTACACCAATAGTAATATATCGATCTCCGTTGTCACATTTCGTCACAGCTATAAGATAAATATAAAAACTGGGTATGGTTCGCATAACACCGTCTACAATTATCGTCGGCCATAACCGTCCCCCGGCTAACTGTATTCTTTGTTCTCGTCCCACACGTAAATAAAAATAAAAAAACTTATAATCGCTAGCAATGGTCTTTAGTACCGACAAGGGTTCGTCATCGAGAACTGTATCACAGGGTAGCTGTACAACAATTTCCTCTTTTATTTCACCCGCACTACAACAAAAAAAACAAAAATACTAATATTGTAGCACGGGTTTACCCCGATGATCCAATTCTAAGAGAACACCGTTATAACCCCGTTTATAATATTCCACTTGTCGTTTTATCAAATCTTGACAAACTATCACACCGGGGCAACGCTGCGCAATGTTTATAGCAATTTGTTCAATACTACACATAGACACTTCCCGAAACAGTTGTTTCACAGCAGTATAACATTCTTCATGAAAAATACCGCATAAGCCACCGTAGAACCCAGGAAAACAAAATTGTATTTCATAATTCCCCGCCCTATCCTGACAATTGTAAGTCAAATCCATACATGATTCTCTTATACGGCGATCGTGTGTCACTCTCATAAAACATTTCCCCTTATCATTACCCTGACTCACATACGCGCAAACATTATGAAAGACATAACCCTCATGATAGATATCGATAAATCCCCGATCATAACTCTTTAATAGGTGAAATAAATTTTCACAATAGCGATCATACCTCGTCATATTCATCTGTACATCTATATGTTTCAGCAAACGCCTCTTCAATATCTTTTATAGATATATCCGAATAATAAATTGCAAATAAATACAGCAAAAACGTTATTAACAATAATGTCAATAAAAGTTTACAACAAAAAGTCATTTCACTTTCAAATATATAACGTAAACTATTTAAAACTGCTCTTATAAGAACCTTCATCACGACATATAAAATACTAAACTAGCATGCACATATACGGTCTTACGCATATATAGACGCAGACCTTTTCTCATACTGTTGCTATACGATTATAAACACACATAAACATGTTTAACCGACCCTAACCACCATGCCCAAATATGTACAACGACCTTTTCTTCTCATACTGTTGCTATACGATTATAAACATACATAAACATCTTTAACCGACCCTAACCCCCTATGGTGAGAAATTGTAGACATTAGGGGGAGGAGCTTAAATATAATATATTCTGCGTTCATAAATGTCTTGGTTTCCACCAGTGGCTTATAACGCTTTTTTAACCGCTTAGGATTAATTATTGGATGGTTAAACCCCGTTAATAAGAACTTTTAGCTTGTCGGGGCAAACAGAAACGCTAGACATCCGAAACGTTTCTGTGTTTATATGTTTTGCTCGATTGACCCATCTGACCTTTGTGCAAAAAAATATATACTCACTTTTACACGCATCTGAAGTCTTGCCAACAATATAACTACGATGACCAAATATGGGCAACACGCGAAAAACACGCAAACCATATTTAGACATCGACATTTATACTTGAAACCCTACAACTATAATTTCAATACATTTCACTACAACTACTCGTAAACGAAACAGCAAATTCATCGTAAAAAAAAAATGGATCCAAATTTCAACAAATTTATCGAGCTGTTGGGGGTCACCGTCACCGCCGAAACAGATATCACACCATTACTCGTAGAATACTAGAGTTTCACAGCCTACGCGCAACAACATCCTGAGAATATCTACGAATTAAATTTCATCAAATGGCAACTGAATGAGAAAAACCCAGCAACGCAGCAGCCCAACAACAACACACCCGTAAATCAAACGCCGCCGCAGCAGAATACGTCGCCGTTAAAATCAACATCGAACGAAGCCAGCCCTACTAGAATGTTAACCCCACAACCCCTTGTGCTACCCGTTAAACTACAAAAACTGAAAAAACATGTTAATACTGTCGAAGGAACATTCAATTCATTCACATTTCAACCCGAACAAAACCAAGAACAACCCGCTAAAATTATCACCATCGATGAGAGATGCGAAAGTGCTAGCATCGACACTGGCGAGACTGGCGATTTTGCCATAACAACGACCGACTCGTTCGATTCAATTACCACGTACATAGACGATTTTATGGCTGCCGAAAAAGAGATACCCAAAGTATTCACAACCCCCGTAGCCGTCATCCATAAAGGGAAAGATATGGCCGCGATAAAAAAAAAATTCGACGAAGAAGAAACGCCGACGGTCTCTGAAGCAAAGAAGAAAAAAACCCCCGCTCCCCGAAAACGCGAATGCGGTCGTCCAACAACCGATCAACAACTGGTTCGTATGGATGATTTCAACGACCTGCAAGCTTTACAACTAACACGTCGTCAGCTAACCCTACCCGATGTACGTGGTAAATGTAAGAAGTCACGAAAAATTCTCACAAAACTCCCAAACGATATTGTTGTCAATACAATGAGACAATATCAGACCTACGAACTATTCGCCGATACACGTGAAAAAGCCTTACAAGATATTCAGGAAAAACGTGAACTGTTGGAAAAGATCAATGCCGCAGAATACGTACTGTCTACATTATTAAAACAACAAAATGATAGTGACTCTAGCGCATAACTTTTTAGATTATCTTGTAAATATTATTAAAATATGAATAAAAATTTTCTACTGTATTATGATTGTTGAAAAACGTTACTAACATTTTTTAAAAAACTAAAAAATGTTATTAAAACATTCAAATATGTTAAAATAATAACGTACTCTCATCAAAAAAATACAATATTACTCAACGCGTATGTAAAAAAAGCAAAAAACTTTGTAAAAAACCCATTACGTAATAAAAAACACTCGGAAAATGTAAATACCAAGTGGCAGCACCGGATGAGGTGACGTCACCGGTTTCCTTTTAAAAACGGCGGCAAATTCGAACGACCCTCACTTCGGTCGACCAGGGCTTTGGGTTTGGAGCTCCCCGACGCATGCGCACGCCGCGCACCTGTCAATCACAAACATGACGCGACCTTCCTTCAATTGGGACACGCCCCTCTAGATTTTCCCCCCCGTCCGTACAGTCAGCGGACTCCGCCTTCGACGCCCGCGTTACTTTCGTTTTCCATTCAAAGCTCCAGTTAAATTAAATAGGTTCACACGCCCCCTCTTTTTTTTATTATACTTATTACTATTACTACTTATGCGACAGTTTAACATAATAAAATCTTCACATTGTTGAAAAACTTGAAAAAAGTTTTGTTTTGTGTAAGACCACCTTGAATCTCCTCTAATAAGCCCCACCCCTTGTGGGCTAAAAGTAATATGCTTCAGGGGAGACTAATAAAGACAATAGAGGAAATATGGTAACTAAATAGTGCAAATTATAAAATGTACTTGAACTTGCCTGTTAAGTTTGATACCACCGACTCTGCGAAGGAGCTTTCTCCATGTGCATCATTTCTTGGATAACTTCTTGCCAATCATTTCTCTTGGAACTTATAATGTCAATATCATATGGTAAGGATTCAGCAGCATAGAAAAGCCATGCCCATCGCCCACATATCAACAGCTTCCAAATCCTTTGAAGAGGCTAAAAAGCCAGAATATTTGGTAAAAATTTCAGGTGCCATGTGGACTGGAGAACCATGTGCGATATTGGATGTACCTTCATGGCAGATGGTGCCAGTTTGAACAACCTTACTCCTGCTTTCCCTAAAGTCTGTTAGTTTGCAGATAATGGATTCTCTTTGAAAACTTTCTGTCTTTCACTCTCATCTAGAGTTGAGTGATGGATATTCGACACAAGCATTTGCAGGTTTGAGATCTCTGAGTTACACCATTACTATGAAGAAACTGCAGCCCATATGCTATGTCCTGTGCAATCTTTAATTACAGGGGAAAGTCGTTGATTAGGTTGTAATCATCAATGTAGTGTAAATATGAATCAAGAGATGACACAATACCCTCGCCACCAAATGGTTCAAAGCTAAAGCAAAAATATTCCAGCATTATTGAACAAGGCTGCAAGCAAAGCCCCTTAAACTTAATAATGTTAGGATTATCAAGCTCATGCAAAATGGTTGCCTCCTTAATAAAAAGGCGATACAGACGCTTATCTTTGGTTCCCGAATCTTTGAATTTCTTGATTAGCATGTGGCTGCCTTCCTTAAGGTTTGGACTCTTTGCTAAAATTACCATTCCAAAATGAGCCCTCTCCAAGTGTTCTTTCCTCTGCTATTTCGGCCAATGAAAGGTGGGAATATTCTTCCCAACAGAGAAAAGAGGCATAGAATTTTTGGTCGTAATCGTGGGAAATTTGAAGCCATATTGGCATATTTTGATATTTGTCAAAATATTGACAATGACAATGTAATGAACATACAGAGTTTATGCAAGTCAGCGCAGCAACTCGTGGGCATACTGATTGCACACTTGTATAAATTTAATAATAATAGATTGGTTACAATTATGTAATTTCGGGATTCATGTAGTATTAATTTTGGTTGAGTTTTAATATAGAGAATAGAGACACTTTTGGAACTAAAATATGGATTGCTGCACAGTTAAGAGAATTGCCCTGAAATTGTTTTCCCGTCATTTGGAAAAATGTCACATGATTGCAAATAAACAATACCAAGAGCAAATCAACAAAGAGCATTGCATTGAACATTTTGATTTTGGTTAACAGAAATCACGGTAAGATCTAGATTTATAGAAAAGATAAATAAAATAAAATAAAACAAATGGTATAAGACAAATTCCTGTTTTGCAAAATTGTCGTTTCTCAAAAATTGTCTTTTCTCAAAAATTGGCGTTTCTAAAAAATTGTCGTTTTGCAAAATTGTTGTTTCACAAATTACCGTTTTGCAAATTCCTGTTTCATAAAATTTCGTTCAGTTTCATTTCGCAAAATACTATAAGCCAAATATCATTATTTGAATCTTCAGAAGATATGCTGCTAGCTTCACTACAAGATCCTGACAATTCTTCTACTTTAAAGCTTCCACATAAGAGGTCTACAGAGTCATCATCCTCAATTATGGTATCCCATTCAGTGTTAAGTGTTAAGTGAGAAGTCTAATTCGATCATCATCTGAATCCAGAGCTGCCAAGTCTCACGGTTTACCTGCGAGTCTCCAGGTTTTCGCGCTGACCTCCAGGTCTCACGGTGGGTGTTGAAAATCTCACGGGATTGCATTAAAATGGTCCTTTATGCATGGATTCTGCATCTATGCTCTGAAAATGACTCTTAAAAAAAATTAGTAGCGTGGAAGTATAACGTAATCTAAACGTGAATTATGTGTGTGTGCGGGCTTATTTTTTATTACACACGCATATATGGCAATCTGGTTCCCCGAGCATGCCTGTGGAACAGTAATATAAAGTCAACAATTTATACATAATTTGATTAAAATTTTTCAGTATTAAATATTGTCAGTCTGCACTACTCTGTCTGGCTATCACTGTCAGGGGGGTACGAACTACGAACTAAAGGCCCAGAAACCTCCAGGTTTTTAATCATCTCAACTTGACAGCTCTGTGAATCATCATATGTTTCCATATCAAGATTTGCTGTCTGTACTTTACTTGGCTCAAGAATATCCATAAATATGATTTGACAAATATAAGTATCATTTTTGCATGTCTTGAATGCCAAATTTCAATACATTTATAAACATCATCCATAGTAAAAAGTTTATTGCAATTACTACCACTTGTGAAATTTGCACATATGCACATACCAAAACCATAAAAATAGTTTTAAGTACAATGGTTGCTGAGCACATATTTGGAATTCTATACCAAAAGAAATTAGGGGAAGCAAGTCACTTTCGTCCTTTTGAAATAAATCGCAGCTCACATGAGTGTTTGGTAACTTTTGGAAATATAATTTACTTGTAAATAGCTCAAAACATTTGTTATATCTATTAAACTTATATGTTACTGTAAATAGTTTAATGAAGTTGAATATGTTGGAAAGAGACAGATAGTTGAAATCGAACAACTGGCAACTAAGCAAGACAACAATAACATGAAACACATTTTTGTGGCATATATTTTGGGCAGAGAAGTGCTCGAAAACAGTTCTGGCCGAACTGTCTAGAGGCTCTCATTAACCTAAGTTTTATCTAGAGAAACAGGCGAATCTCTAGACTGCAGAGGGCATGCTTGACTCTGTACATGTCGTTCAGCGAGTTAAGACCTAGTTGGACTGGTGAACAACTATTGGTATAGGGCACATTACCCAGGGTAATCAAAGCTGGCTGAGGAGGATACATGCAAAAACTGTAGGTTGTTCTAGAGGAACAGGCGGACCTCTAGATAACAGGGGAACAAGCGAACCCCCGTTCAGATCCGTCAGGCCGTCAACATTGTGACCTAGTTGGACTGGTGAACAACTATTGGTATAGGGCACATTACCTCGGGCTGCAACTGATAACCTGACTGACCACATCGAGTCTCTAGGACTGCTCATTCAGGTCTTCAGTGCGACCTGAATGAGCAGTGATTGTGCTTCGCTCAGAGTTCATAATCGAGAAATGAGGCTGCAATCCGGGGATAGTCTTCGGTTCAGATAGCAGGAGTGAACATCACAGAACACATTCAAGTTTGTTGTTCGCCTTAAAAACAGAAGGAAAGATGCAAGAGAAAAACGAGTGCTCTACATGTACAGTGATAAATTTGTGGAACTAGGTGATTAATGTATAGGTGGAAAGATAACTGAATAGTTAACCTGCATCTAAGGACGAAAAACGGACCCATATTCATTTATGCAATGTTCGTTCCTCAAAATCCAAGATCTGATTGATTATGTTAGTGAATATATGCTAATGCCAACTAAACCGACTTATAAAGCAACTTATGCATGCGGATTATTTGTTATATGATATGGATGAAAATCAAATTATTGCTTGCCTCTGCAAATTCCATTGCCAGGCCTGTTTTATAGGCACAGAAAGCGAGTATACATGGATCTAGCTGGAGTGTACTGTGTAGTAAATATATGATAACTTGAAACAGTATAGTGTTTTTCTCAGGTTGTGTTTGCCATGCATTTTGGTTGCTTATGCATCCAACTGATGCACAATCTGTTATTATAGGTGGGTTTTACTAAGTGTTATACAACATGGGGAACACAACTTTACATTCATGTATTGACGAATTATACCCACATTACATTGGGGGCTTGTCATAATCGTATTCTATTCACAACACTCTCACTTGCACTCTTTTGTTTTAAGATATAGAAACATTGATCGAAACACCCCAAAAACTAACTGATACATTGATCTAAAACCATGAATAGACCTAAATTCCTAACTTAATCGAAAACTTAACCCCCAAACCATAACTCATAACTCAAAACTCAAACTCAATCGATACGGTCTTTAGCGGTTAGACCTTTTTAAGAACAACTATATACATATTTCAGATTCATGTGGGCACTTTTGAGAAGGTAGACTCGGGAATGCGGAAACAAACTGTCGCAATTCATTAGTATCTCCCCACTTCTGTGTAACTGCAGACAAATCAACCTGAGCAAGTCGGGATGAAGCCCCAGCTGGGTTAAGGACTTTTGCCAATTGAAGGTAATACAGTGCTCTGTGTCGCTGTGTCCAGCCCACATGGTCCATAACTTCCGATAGTTCAACTCCTGATAGGGCGAGGGTAATGGCATATCCTGATCGAAAGCCATGAAGAGTTTCCCCGTCATCGCTTCCCATCTCTTTGAGATATGTCCTTAAGCGGGCTTCAGCAGCTGAGGACATGAATGCAGCATTAACGATAGCACCTTGCTGATTAGTTGGACGGAATAGGTAACCACTCTTCAGATTGATCTTAAGTTGCTCCGCAATTGCAATATACTGTTCAATACCCCAAACTGGACAGACGCTAGTTTGAGGGTTGCGTTTAATACCAAAAATATTGGAATTGCCATCTCAAAGAGTTTTCCCCAAACATGGTTAAACAGGAGGCCATCGTTGTGCGGAAATCGTAAAATCTCCGGAACCTTAACTTGTCCCATATCTCCTGGTCTGTCCCCACTGAAAAATACGGCCTTAAAGAAAGCTTGATCCCGAGCGAGGATGAACTGTTGGGTAGGCGTAAGGTTGGGTGATTTCATACTTTCCTTGATATGTCCAACCAAGCGATCAAGTTTATCGATGAAAAAAGGACTCGCTTGCTTGGGTTGTACTCGAGCTTGTAATTATTCCATGGTAAAGATTTGTAGATAATCTTTAAGATATTTGTCGGCGGCTGGGTTACCCAAACAAAGTCTACGATCCCATTCACCATCTCGTCCCAACACATGAAAAATAGATCTTAGTTTCCCAATATAAGAATCAACCGTCTTATGGGAGAGATGTAACAGGCAACCACACTCATGCATGCTCTTCTGACCAAGATAAACACATCCATTTCTGTGAACTTGTGTCTTTCCATTCTGATCTTTATAAACTAGAAATCACCAGATATCTTTTGGGGTAACATTAGAGAGACTTGGCAAACCTGGAAGAGCATCCAAAAACTTTTCTAGCCCTTTTTGAAGGGAATATTTCTGCTTCGAATAACGAGTAGCCTGGGAGAATAAGGACAACTGTTTCAATCGCACGTCAATACCCAGCAATTTTTGGGGATCCATGGGAGATGAAACACGAGGAACCACTAACTTTCACTTATAACCGCAACGTTGGCAGAACAAGAAATCATTAGAGAGTTTTAGATTCACGTTTACGGCAAACGTCAAACCACTAGCGAAGTTTTTGATTTTACAAGTCTACTATAACAGCTTTTACACCAGTTTTGAAATATATACAATTATTAAACTTATGCTCTTTAGCAATGATTCATAAGAAAGCAAATTAACCACTAGTCACGTGTTCGCGAAAGCAGTAAATTATGATTTGGCATTTGAAGTTTACGTTTGGCGAATAAATTTCATGCTTGAACTGCTATGAGGGCTTGTAGTCGTTAAAGCATGAAATTTATATGCCAAACGTAAACTTCAAACGCCAAATCATTAATTTACTGCTTTCGCGAATACGTGACTAGTGGTTAATTTGCTTTCTTATGAATCATTGCTAAAGAGCATAAGTTTAATAATTGTTTATATTTCAAAACTGGTGTAAAAGCTGTGATAATAGACTTGTAAAATCAAAAACTTTGTTAGCGGTTTGACGTTTGCCGTAAACGTGAATCTAAAACTCTCTATTGTCATTGGCGTAACTGCACGTCGGGCGCCGCACCGAGGGAACGAAAAGTTTCGCTATTGCTGGCAAATGCTAGAAATCAAAGGACAAATGAAAACACATAATTATTTATTGTAATAAATCTTTAATAATGTATACATAATAACCCCGAGTCCAGCACACAAAGTACCAGAAATTTACAGGCATGCCTGGCATGCAGATATTGAGACACCGTCATTTTACGCAAAATTAAGGGGAAAACGCCCACAACTCTCTGTGAATGCTATTGCAAGAGACCCAACCATCACCCGAACCCACCAATAAAGCGTTGTGATCACCAATCTTTGCCAAGCATAAAGATTTTGATGAGAATTTCATGAGACAAGGCCACCAATATTGCTTAGGATAGGTAACTAAAGTTACCAATGTACAGCTTTTGTGTTCAGTTAAAAGAAAACGAAGCACCGCCCCAACAAGTACGAGTGGAGGGAAAATGTAAGGGCAGTCAAGGAATGGAAGTCCTGCACGCAGGTTTTAGGCGAAAAAATTAACACCTGAGGAAGCTGGAGAAGGGAAAGGGGTGAAATGAGGCAATGGAACACCATTCAAATCTAGCATTGTATTAGAATCCAAAGCCATTAGATTGCACGAGTGACCATTTAGACCACCAAATTCTTTCTGGACAATCTGCCACAAGGCCAGATGTAACTTGCTGTCGAGAGCTGATAGCCTATGAGGAGCATCGGCTGGGTTGGCACGAGAGGGTACAAAGTGCAAATGTAGTGAGATGTTTAACTTGGTCGTGGTAAAAAACAAACTGCTTCATCACCGAATTCAAAGCGACACTTCTTCCTCCGTTCGACCAAGCACATACCACTGACATGTTATCAACTTGGACATCCACCCAAACATTCTGCAACGAGTCAGAAAACGAGAGCAGTGTCTTATCTAGTGCTAAAGCCTCCCTGGTTGCGATATCATGCGCACGCTCGTCGTCACTCCAATAGTCAGATGTAGTAACTGTCTCCTGTAGAAATACTGAGACTCCCCAGCCGGAACCCGAGGCATCTGTAGCAAGTGATATGCGTATATGAAGTTCATCTCTCCATGGAAGGGGATCGTCCCAAGTTTCGAGAAAAAACCAATGATTGAGTTCATCACGGAGTTTTTGATCGATTTTCACCCGACGATGAGTACGGAGTCCTTTTGAAATAGCAGTGTTCATGGCTCTAGTAAAAAGAACAGCCCCCGGGACTGCCAAGGAAAATGAAACACATTTTCCCACGAGCCTTTGGATTGTCTTGACGGAGACAGCTGATTGACCGACAATTTTGCGTAGTAGTAGCAGGAATTTTTCCTTTTTAGCGGGAATAAGGTGAAAAACCTGCAACGCTGAATCTGATAGAAAACCCAAAAATGGAACAACTTTAACTGGTATCAAGGTCGATTTCGCTAAACCAAGGAAGTAGCCCAATTGTACTAAGTAATACGCGACAATGAAGATGGCTGAATTGGCTGCGGCCAAATTTCGTTCGTCTAACGTTGGTAATTGGAAATACGCGCTCGAATGCAAGTCTACCTGCAACTGTCCATTGTGGTGATCGTCAATATATAGAGAACATGAGATGGCAATGGAATGAAAGAAATTAGTCGCTAAGAGGCCGGTTGTGTGATAAACAAAGGGTGATATCTTCCATCCAAACGGAAGGGTATTATAAACCAAATACCATCCAACCCACTGGATACCAAAATAGGTCCAACTATCCTCCGATAATAGAATGTGGTCATAACCCGACTTATCATCCAAGACATTTTGGTGTCCTTTGGAACATACCGTGGTAAATGAGTGAGATTATCCAACTTATAGGGAGCATCAGTCATCCATAAATTCAGGAAACGTGCATCATGACATAGTCGAGGTTTCATAGGTTCCACAGTCAATGTCAAAACCTCGCCAACTCTGCCCAGGAGCGAGATTGCTCCAGTTTGGATTTGGAAAACTGAGCAGGTGGTGGATAAGCTGTATCATAAAATTGTCCTTCCAAATGACCATGGAACGGGCGAAAGTACTCTGAAACAGAGACTTTTTCTCAAATGCATCATAGAACCTGGAGTTGTTGAGGATTGGGAGAGTGATAGAGTAATTTTTCCCATGCGTCACAATGGTAATGTAATTCCCCCGCTATGAAATGATTGGGGTATCGGAATTGTAAATTATTAATAGTTCCTAACTGATCACCATGAATAATCTTGTCCATGACATTCTGTGGCACAACTGCCGACCCCCCACCAGTCTCAATGGAGGCTCCCGAGGAACTAACCCAACGGACATGCTGCGGTGGCTGCTGCATTATGATGGAAAGGTCATCGTCAAAGGATGAGTCAAACTCCCATTCCCATGCCAGTTTAGGTACTGCCTAAATGTAACAAGGAAAGCATCATAAATATGCGAAAAGCTAAATGCAGTGCGGCACCCCCAAAGGACCAGCAGGGGACGACAGCCATGACCCAGCATAACTAGGAGAGTGTGAGATACTCTGTTTTCGCAACTGTCACCCGCTGCAAGCCAATGTGGGAAGAACAAAAATAGAAGTTGTAGACATAATACCTGTATACATACACAACACCTACATACATATACATCCATAGACAAATATGAGATAGAAAGAAACCAATTGCAAAGGTTTAATTATAACGATAGTATTTTCCCTGAATACACTGTAGGTCATTAATACAATTACTATCACACGACAACGAGAAGACTGTTTATTATTTATCAAACCACATGCAGAAGCTTATAATAAGTATGAAGCATTAAGTGTATAAATGTTACTATTTTTTATAGTTCGAAGAGCCACTTTCCTCGTCGCGTCTTCTCTTAAAGCAATTCCTCCGCACATGCCCAAACCTTTGGCAATAAAAACACCGTACTGAGTAGTATGGAGACGCTGATGACTGGCGAGACAAGGTTGCACTTGTTGTGGCTGTAGGTGCAGCTGGAGAACCGCGCTTGTTGTGTTTTTCCACTTTTGAAACAATATCTAGTATTTTTTCCTGATCCTTATCGCCCAAAAGCGGCAGAAGAAATTGACGAAATTGCGCATCCGTACTTTCATTGAGCTTCGGTTGAAGAGTTTCATACTGGCCGTATAATAATTAGCCTTTTCATGTCGATTGTCTTGGGCCGCATTTTTTATGGCTTCAAGGAGGTCGACCCATGGCCTCAAAACGTGAAAATTCTCCGAGCGGACGGGATGCCGATTTCCGTATTTTCGTTAGCAAACTCTGCAGAGAGGAAGTCGTCAATAAATCAACTTTAGCTTGCAACTCGGCATATTTTTTCTTCAATATCTAAAAAATGTCAGAAATGTGGCATCCAATATGTGCGTAATGACCAAGTAACAATGCTAGGGACACAAATATATAGAGGTTCGAGAGTATAACTAACAATTAACACAACTGTCTGTTGGACATACGGAAACTTGAAACATGCAAAGTAGTCGGAATAAAACACTGAGTTGACTAGACAATACAACAGGGTTAGGAAGGCCGGCAAACGTCCAAGCATTAACGATCGAACTACGATTAATTTTGAAAGGTACATCTACAATCCTGGACAAAACATCTGCAACACTTCGAATTACTTGTCAAATTGTCGTAATATTATCGTAAATTTAGAAAACCTCCCCCTTTCCCCCCACCATTCAATGTTGATTGCATTCATAGAATACGGATAAAACGTCCAACATTGTTTTGGGGGTTGAGGGGGGCAAACGAGTAAATTATTCCGGTCTAACTGGTAAAAAAGCCACAAAGGAATGTTTTAATAGAGTGTCGCAGATGGTTTTGTCCAGGATTGTCTGTATCTTTCAAATTCAGTAACCGAGGCATCAGGCCTCAATAATATTTTTTTGTGCCTTTGAGCAGAATTTAAATATTGGAAATGTGCCTGCAAAAAGTTGTGTTTCTTTTCCATAAGTGAGTAATTATTGCAGGTAAAATTACTGCCATAAGTAATTACTGCAGTAGCCAGTAGTAATAACAATTTAGTTAACAACAACATTTTAGTCAACTGAAATAAGAATTCCTGAACAGTTTCACTGATTAAAAAGTCACAGTCCACAGACCTTGTATATTGCACAACTGTAAGTACATCAGGTCATAAATGGTAAGTTAGGCTTTGCTGAGCTCATTCGGTCAACGACCTTCGATACAGCAAAATCCCTTATGTTCTGCGATTTTCAAACAAAATGCCAGTCTCCGGTCTTTCGTTTCCCAGAATTCTTCCAGTATTCTGTCATACTTTCTTGGATGATGCTATCGGCATGTGGCAGTTCGGGTCCATTGATAGCAATATTCATTTCGAGAACCGCCCTTTCCTCTGATATTGGCCGGAACTTGTTATTTCGGTTTTCATAAATAGAAACCATTGACTCTATCACTGATTCTACCGACATGCTGGCAGCGGCAACACAAATAACATGCATTACCATTTCGACATACAGCTTCCTTTCGGTCTCTAAGAAAACTTTAATTAACTTGATACTGCATAGATCCTCTTTGTTGAGTTGTGCAACATGTCTTTCGAGTCTCCTGATAAACTCTCGAAACTGAATACGAATTTCGCTATCTGGCACATCAACAATATTAGTTGCCAATTGCTTCGAGACTTTGGTGAACTGTTCTCCATCCGAGGCTAATACATGTGCAGCACCCTTCTGTTTAACCTTTAAAGCTAATGATCTTAGATCAATGATTGGTCTCAAGGTTTTTAGCATTGATTTGTCGCCTTCATCATACACCTTGTTGTGAAGACATTCATACATTCTTTGTACTAGCTTTTGTAAATCCTGTTGTGCGTTGATAATGACGATACCTTGTTGCTCATCTCGAGCATTTCTTGCAGCTCTTCCTTCTCCCATCCGTGTGTTGATTTCTTCACCATATGAATGCCTCGGGAATGCCTCAATATGAACCAAGTGTTTTGATTTCTTCTAAATCACAGTGTTTTGATTTCTTCTAAATCATGGTGGAGCGTTGGCCATTGACCTTTAGAACTATGAGAGCTGATACATGTAGCATGGTCTAAAGATGCAGTCATCAAATTAAATTTACCGATCACAACTGAGTGAAATCGGTCAAATTTATCATGTGGCAGCATATCAACAGTCTGAAGGATGTTGACGCCATGACCAAAAACTTCATAAATATCACAAAGTCCAGAAAGTATCACAGTAAACTGCTTGTTGAGTATCTTGTCTGAGAGATCACTTGCGTGGGTTGCCTTCTTCCTGTCGTCACTGTTTCCTTCCATGTTTTCAAGCTGAACTTCCTCCAAGGTGCGTATGATGGCAGGGAAATCTTCGCGGAAACTGACGTATACCTTTCTTGCATGGTTAGCAAACCTTGTCTCGGAAAAGAATTTGGGTGTTTTGAAACTGATGTCAGCTTCTCCGCTCTCCTTCATTTCCTTGGCTACGGAAAAGAGGTGCTCGAATTCTTTACCATAATTCACAACCTTAAATACTTCTCCAATGATCTTCATGGTGTAAACTAACCATTCAAATGTTGGATCTTTCCTTATATGGATGTCTTGTAGTCCAGCTTTGTGAAGTGGGTCCCAGTCATGGTGTTTCCTCTTGTTTCCCTCAAAACCAAAATAACAGTCCAGTTTCTCTGGGACATTGAGGTGGAAATATGCACTGTCGAATGAACCGCCAAAGTACTGTGACCTATTTATGTCGTAGATTTTGACGCACTCTGTGATACTGTTGGTCACACCAACTCCAGTGTGCTGTTTAACAACAGGGTGGCCAAGAAAAAATGCGTGTAACAACTTAGGTGAGTCAGGCACGATTGTCGTAAATGTGACAAACTGACGTGTTCGATGCTTCCAAGTCGCCTTGTCAGCTCCAATCTTTCCAGAGGGTCGAAAACCTGTTTGTTCCAAAGGATTGTCTAGAAACCTAGTCAGCCTTCGGCTAACTTCGTTCAACATGATCGGGAGAATTTTCGCAGGAAACTTGTTTGAATGGTTGATGTCCCCAATGTCTGAATCATTAACAGAGTGGAGATAAACTAGATGCTGGAAATCAGAGTCTGGCCATCCTTGCTTAAACATGTAGTAGCATATTCTACCAATTCTCTTGCCTACAACTCTTTCTCGGCGATAACTTTTGTCCAATTCCTTTTCATTCACTGTCCTTCTTTCCAGTGCTGTAATGTGGCTAGTAGATTTCAAGTGTACCAGAAGATGTGTTATAAGTTTCGAAACTTCTTTGATAAAACTTTCTCAGGAGGGTCGATAGCACCGACAATGTTGTCATATTTGAATATTGCCAAATAGGTTTTATTAGTTGTAAGTTCAGGCAAATGTTGAGTAAACTGGTACACATACAGAGCACAAGACTGCTTGCTTCCTTTTGTCATAGTGGAATTCGTCGAACTTGTGTAGAAGATCATCTAGAGATCAGCAGCTATTCATCAAAAAGTTATCTGGCAGAACTGTTTCACGAGGTGAGGACGTATATAATGCGGCACTATCATCGCCGCTATGATCCAGTGTCAGATTGGAATTACCACGCATCTCATGGAGTTTAAGCGACAGACTATCCAGTTTCTCATTGATTTGTGACAATAAGTAAGGGGTTTGTTTGGCGTCAATCGCTACTGTGGCTTCAGACTCGAGATTACTTTCTAGATCTGACGTCTGGTCTTCAGAAACCTCTGGCGCCACAACTGTCATTGCCAACTTGGTGAACTCGCCATGGGGATCACCAAGGTCATCAGTGCAAGTGGGCTCAATTGTTTCTTCAAAGGCTCTCTTTGCTTCGTTATTTTCTTCATCGTTTCGAACCCTCTTTCTTCCAACTGGACCATCCACTCGATTGAAAAAGGATACAATCAAAGACTGGCATGCAGGACGCAAGTCATTTGGTTTTACTTCTGAGTGCTGACGTTGTATGTGAACTCGATAGTTTTGAAGCAGAACCTCAGACACACTCTACATTTTACTTTATTTCGTTTTGCAAAACTTGCTCGATAATTACCAGATGACATGAATTCGTGAGTTCATAACAAACTGCAAAGCGCAAACCATGGGAAACTAGGCCTTGGAATTGTTGGAAAATATTACGACTCTTCAAAAACAAACGTTTTGGAAATTTTAACAGTGAGAATTTCGAATGTGCTCACTTGATGGTGTTTAAAAATATAGTAAATACAGCAAGCTAAGCAGGTTATAAATAAGTATTGTGTAAATGCATTTGCCACGCCTCTCATTTGTTTTTAGCTCGCGTCATGTCAGGTCACCGATGTTTTGAATTTTTTGACTGAGAGAAATTTTCTTTATAATATTGGTGTTTTAATGTAAAAATACAAAGTAAATTAATTTTTTAATTTTAAAAAGCGATTCAATAGGATAAAACGAAAATATTAGAAAGTATATTGAAAGTATTATAGTCAAAGAAGATAGTTGAAAGAAACAAATATAATATCTACCAACTAAACAATAGTCAATACTTATTTATCAATATTTATTAGTCAATACTTATTACTTGTGATATTTATTCGCGAAAAAATATGATATCAACATTGACTTAATTGGGTAAACATAACGTTGACATAAGCAAACGTAACGTTGAGTAGAGGTCAACGTGACGTCGACTACTTGCAAACACAAAAATTCGGCGCGTGGCATGTTTAATTGCAAATGGCATGCAGTAATATATACATCCCATTTTCAGACGTTGAGTGTGACCTTCCCGTCCTTCCGGCAAGGTTACACAATTTATTACTCACAGGTTCCTTTAAAAACAACTGTAGATGTTTCAAATTGAAAATATTGCCGTATTTTAAACGTTTGTTCTGCGTTATTACAACGACTTCGCTTGTTTTCGGGAAATTAACAACTTTTCTATTGCACTGCTAATTCGCTAAAAGATCAAGAAAAAATTTGTGCCTGCACAAATGGAAAATGTGCCTGCGAGCAGCGCTCGCACACTTTATCGAGGCCTGCGAGGCATTGCGCATTAAAAATTGAGTCTTATGCAGGACTTTCTCTTTCCGTAGTAAATATGGCCCACTAGAATGTATTAGGCTTCAAGAAGCAAATACCTCATGGTCGACAAGGTAATATAACACCCTCATGCAACACTATGCTTCGATAGCTTGTATAGAATGCGATTAAGAATCATATGCGACGACTTTTGCGCATTTGATATATGTCGGAGAGCAAGTCATTGTACTTAGTAGTGTATATACCAACTATTTTGCACTAAGAATATTCTAAAATACGTTAATTCATATTTATTTGTGTTGTTAGACAGACAAACGTTTAGTTGTTGACTGCCGCACTAAATGACTAATCCGATTTTGTTATTGTCGTATAATAGCGCATGCGCATTGACGGTGTACCATGATACAGCGTGAACATGTAAGAATATATATATACATACAGCCGTAAGCGGACACCCTCGGGACCACGACCTGGTGTCCGCTTACGGGAGGTGTCCGCTTATGAGAGGTTGGTTAATATTTAACTGATTACGTAATTGTTGAAACATGATTCTTTTAATAATGATGTTAATATGACTATATTATTGACAGCTATTATTGCAAATTTACTCTAAAAACCCCACCGTTGGCAATTGTTAAATCATCACGGGGATCAACAGAAACCAGCGGCTTATCTCATGTCAATGCTGTTAATGAAACTGTTGATGTTGTGGGTCATATACCCAAAAATATGGCACCCTACGTAAGGAAATTTTTGAAACGTGCATCTAACTCAGCAAGTGTTACAGTAAAGGGAAAACAAATAAATCGCGGGGCTGGTTACGGACTTGAGATTCTGTGTGTTTATACGTCCGGGGCGACCAATTTGCTTTGACTTGGTTGAGGAACAAAATACGTAAGACTGGACATGCTTTGTTGGATGAGAAACTATAATGGTTCATAAAGAAAAAATTAACAGTAACTGCTAATGGTGCGACGCTACAATAACTCAAATACGGAATATTGAATTAATAGTTTCCGTATCAATTCTGTCATCAGCTCATTCTAATAACACAATATATCAAACACATATGTTTCTATTCTAATACTGTATTAAGTCAACTAGGCGGCATAATTATTAATTTAACAGAAAATAAATCAAGTGTGTCCGCTTATAAGAGGTTATAATGTTGTTTGGGAAGGTTGTTGTGGTGTCCGCGTCCGCTTACGGGAGGTGTCCGCCTAGGAGAGGTTGTAAATATAGTAATATAATAGCGTATTGGCCGGGACCGAAAAACAGTGTCTGCGTAGAAGAGGTGTCCGCTTCCGGGAGGTGTCCGTAAGTAGAGGTTCGACTGTATAACCTTTTGTAGGGTTAAAATGGTACACCGTGGAATATTTTAAAATTAGCGCGCTAAATATTGCCTGAAGTAGGTTGGAATACTAAGCAACACACGTTCTTTCAAGTCCATTTCATTGGTTTGGATTACCCCTATAACTGGGAATATTATCACAGTCTTAGTGCATTGGACGTGGTACACTGTTAAGTGTGACACTGAAAACTTGAGCATTGATTTACCACACCTGGAAAACTTGTTTCAAAATGCATATTTCACATTTATATAGTTGTCACTTGATATTCTAAGTATATGCAGTAAATACCAGAAACGTAACTATATTGAATTTATTGTCCCTTTGTGTTCTACTGGATATCACATGCATTCGTTTATGTATAGACTGAATGTATAACATATAGATGATAAGTAGGTCGTAAGCAATGCGCATAGACAAAATACATGACAAGGACATGTTTAAAGAGCGAAATAAAAAAGAATATAATTTCGACTCATTTCAGACAGTCTGAAATGAGTCGAAATTATATTCTTTTACATTTCGCTTTTTCTACATGTCCTTGCCATGTATTTCGTTTATGTGCATCCATATGGCCTACTTATGTTCATAATTACATCAAGTACCTTATTTCATTAATTAAATACGTCAATAATTGCTGTGTATCAATTCCAGTTATACGGGAGGGATCTCAGATTGTTTGCGATGCACAAAAAAAAGCGGATTTATTTAATGAATATTTTGTAAGTGAAGCGAACGTTGATGACACATATCATGAACTACCAGTCCTAGATTATTATTCTAATCACACAGATAAAACGTTGTCTATAGTTCAAACAACAGAAGAAGAAGTGATTAATCTCCTCTATAAAGTTGATATTACAAAAGCTAGCGGTCATGATGGTATTGGCAATAGAATTATTAAATTATGTAGCCGTGGAATTGCCAAAACATTTACATGTTTAATTAATACAAGTCTCCGAGTAGGAGAGTATCCAACTGAATGGAAAAAAGCAAATGTAACTCCTGTCTATAAAAAAGATGATCATCAATATAAAAAGAACTATCGTCCCATATCACTTTTACCGTCTATATCCAAAATACCAGAAAAAATTGTATTCATTAGACTATATGAATTTTTATTAGACATTAGATTCCTTAATGATTTTCAGTCCGGTTTTAGACCAGGAGACAGCACTGTGAACCAACTTACGTATATAGTTCATAAGATCTATGAAGCTCTAGAAATGGGTAAAGAAGTCCGTATGGTGTTTTTAGATTTTAGCAAAGTGTTTGATAAAGTATGGCATAAAGGTTTATTGTATAAATTAAAATCTCTTGGAGTAAAAGACCCACTTTTAAGCTGGTTTTGTAGTTATTTGTCTGATAGAAAACAAAGAGTTGTCATTGAGGGGCAATGCTCGAGCTGGCTTAGTGTTGAAGCTGGTGTTCCACAAGGTTCAGTGCTCGGGCCATTGCTTTTTCTAATATACATAAATGATATTTCCAGCAATATTGTATCTGACTGTTTTCTCTACGCTGATGATACATCTTTACTTGAAATTGTTGATAATTTATCATCTTTTGATTCTAGACTAAACGAGGATCTCAATAGCATTAACCAATGGTGTATGGAATGGTTGATGGAATTGAATCCTACTAAGTGCGAAAGCATTACATTTTCAACGAAACATAACCGACTTCCTCAGCCAATCTTATACTTAAATGGCACTGCATTACGCGAAGTTGATTCTCATTCACATTTAGGTTTAACATTTACGTCAAATTTCTCTTGGTCAAAACATATTCTAAGCATACATCAAAAAGCTAGTAAAAGAATGAACGCATTAAAAAGGGTTAAATATAAGCTTAAAAGGTCAAAACTGATATGCTTATATAAAAGTTTGATTAGACCCTTAATGGAATATGCAGATGTAATATGGGATGGATGTAGTGTAGAGGAAGCAAATCTTTTAGAAGCAGTTCAGTACGAATCAGCTCGCATTGTTACTGGTGCAATAAGGGGAACAAATAGAAATCGTCTATTGGATGAACTATGTTGGGAGGATTTGAAAACTAGGAGACATATTCATAAGCTATCCTTTTTTTATAAAATTGTTACCCACACTGCACCATCCTACCTTTGTGATCTTTTGCCTCCATATGTAAACCAAAGATCCAGTTACTTTCTAAGATCTAACGATAATTTAACTAATATACCTGTGAGAACTGAACGATTTAAAAATCTTTCTTTCCATCGGCAATAACTGCCTGGAATGATCTTGATCCAGATTTACGAAATATAGAGACGCTATCTTCCTTTAAAGTTACCTTATGTAATATGTATTGTGGACAAAAATATAACGTAAAATACAATGCATCACTAAGTAGATATAGCTCAATACTCCATACCAGGTTCTCTTGGTCAAAACATATTCTAAGCATACATCAAAAAGCTAGTAAAAGAATGAACGCATTAAAAAGGGTTAAATATAAGCTTAAAAGGTCAACACTGATATGCTTATATAAAAGTCTGATTAGACCCTTAATGGAATATGCAGATGTAATATGGGATGGATGTAGCATAGAGGAAGCAAATCTTTTAGAAGCAGTTCAGTACGAATCAGCTCGCATTGTTACTGGTGCAATAAGGGGAACAAATAGAAATCGTCTATTGGATGAACTATGTTGGGAGGATTTGAAAACTAGGAGACATATTCATAAGCTATCCTTTTTTTATAAAATTGTTACCCACACTGCACCATCCTACCTTTGTGATCTTTTGCCTCCATATGTAAACCAAAGATCCAGTTACTTTCTAAGATCTAACGATAATTTAACTAATATACCTGTGAGAACTGAACGATTTAAAAAATCTTTCTTTCCATCGGCAATAACTGCCTGGAATGATCTTGATCCAGATTTACGAAATATAGAGACGCTATCTTCCTTTAAAGTTACCTTATGTAATATGTATTGTGGACAAAAATATAACGTAAAATACAATGCATCACTAAGTAGATATAGCTCAATACTCCATACCAGGCTCAGGCTTGGTCACTGTGCGCTTAATTTTCACCTATATAGAATTAATTGTGCAAATTCCCCTTTTTGTGTATGTCGATGGGGTGAAATGGAAACTGTCAAACATTACTTTTTATATTGTTCTCGATTTGGTGCCCAAGGTGAACAATTGCTCTCACTTCCTGCGCGGCTGCTCCATCCTATGTGGATGAATTTATCAGAGAATCGGAAAATTGAAATACTTTTGCATGGTTCGGAAAATCTTGGACATGAAGATAATGTAAAATTAATGCAAAATGTCCAATTATTTATTTTAAATACAAAACGGTTTCAGGCGGCAAAATGTCCAATTATTTATTTTAAATACAAAACGGTTTCAGGCGGAGTAACTTTTTTTTTTAAATTATTTTTTTTGTTTTTATTGAAACTTGTTTTGTAAAACATTGGTTTGTAAAACATTGGTGTGGTAAATTCTTCCATATAAATTTCTTATAATAATATGTTTCATGGAAAGCTTGAGAATGAATACCAGAAGTTCTTCCACACTATGATTATTCGATTTGTTTTGATGTAATCTTTTTTTCTATGTAATCCTCTTTGTCTTGATGTGAGTAACCTAAAGTTTGTAAATAATCCGACATAATCTCCCTTGATGAGCTATGCTCTTGGAGAAAATGTCTGTAATAAAATATGTTTAAATAAAAAAAAAAAATGTAGAAGGACTATCTTAGTGTTTTGAAAGGGTAATAATGTGTGGTAGAAACTTTTGCCGAGAAAATCGCATACGATATATTATTTTTTAGCAATTAAAAGCAACGAAATGTTTCGGAAATAATTGAGAAAGTAAAACTATCGCATTCTAGTAGATATCATTGCAATAATTCAGAAATTAAGAAATATATATGAGTCATATTTGTTATCCGTATATTTACAGTAAGACCTGCAAGACACAATAGACCGGCCTAATCGACCATATGTGAGAAGGTGCCTAGACAGACATGGCAAGCAATCAGTGCATGAAATACAATGTACGACCCAAAAAATATATTTCCATAAGGGTTTGTGCGACTTATATATTGATAGGTTATACATTCAGTCTATACATAAATGTCTGTGATATCCAGTAGAACTAAGGGACAATAAATTCAACATATAGTTACGTTTCTGGTATTTACTGCATATATTTAAAATATTAAGTGACAACTATATAAATGTGAATTATGCATTTTGACACACGTTTTCCAGGTGTGGTAAATCAATGTGTAATTTTACTCAGTGTCATACATAACGGTGTATCACCACCAATCCACTAAGACTGTGATAATATCCCCAGTTATAGGTGTAATACAAACCAATGAAATGGACTTGAAAGAACGTGTGTTGCTTAGTATTCCAACCTACTTCAGGCAATATTTAGTGCGATAATTTAAAAATATTCCACGGTGTACCATTTTAACCCTACAAAAGGTTATATATATATATATATATATTCTTATATGTTCATGCTGTACCATGGTACACCGTCAATGCGCATGCGCTATAAATTATACGACAATAACAAAATCGGACTAGTCATTTAGCACGGCGGTCACGCAATATATTTCCAGTCAACAGCTAAGCGTTTGTCTATCTAACAATGGATTAACATATTTTAGAATATTCTTACTGTAAAATAGTTGGTATATACACTACTAAGTACATTGACTTGCTCTCCGACGTATATTAAATGCGGGAAAGTCATCGCATACGATTCTTAATCGCATTCTATACAAGCTATCAAAGCATAGCAATGCATGAGGGTGTTATATTACCTTGTCGACCATATGGTATTTGCTTCTTGAAGCCTAATACATTCTAGTGAGTCATATTTACTACGGAAAGAAAAAGTCCTGCATAGAACTCAATTTTTAATGCGCAATGCCTTGGTTATTGAATTTGAAATATACAGACAATCCTGGACAAAACATCTGCGACACTTCCAATTACTTGACAAAATGTCGTAATATTATCGTAAATTTAGAAAACCTCCCCCTATCCCCCCCACCATTCAATGTTGATTGCATTCGTAGAATACGGATAAAACGTCCAACATTGTTTTGGGGGGTGGAGGGGGGCAAAGGAGTAAATTATTCCAGTTTAACTGGTAAAAAAGCCACAAAGCAATGTTTTATACGGATAAAACGTCCAACATTGTTTTGGGGGGTGGAGGGGGGCAAAGGAGTAAATTATTCCAGATCTAGAGTGTCGCAGATGGTTTTGTCCAGGATTGTAGTCTACAATTACAAATAGTACACCGTTATTGTGTCTTTCATGTCTTTGGCACTTTTAAATATGTATGCAATGACATTGTAAGTTGTTAGTATTATTACCTATGGGCAATCCAATGGCAGTATAATTATAGCCAGTAAAGCAATTATTAAATGCAAACGATTTTAATAGTTGTAATATTTCCACTTCATTGTACATTGCCCTTAGCATTGCCCTATTCATATAAAGAATATTGCGGAGTTACGAGATGTATGAATTCCCTTCTGGCTTGCGAGTTGTGACCTGATGACTGATCGAGGTCTGCAAAACATCAACTAATAAACTGTATAAATGCATGAAGTCATTCAGTCACACTTCTTTCTATATCTGAGAAGAGCGTGGAGAACCCGTCTTCTCTTCAAATCTTGCCACGAGAAATAGTTGCGTATATGAGTATATTAGTATAACTGTTCGCTATACGATCGATCGAGCTATAAGTTTCAAGTTTGAAAGACCCACATTAAACATGTGTGTACCAAGTCTATCGACATTCAATTTATTCAGCATTTAGTACCGTTCAGTCACACTCAATTACAACCAAGTACTTTGCCTAAGCATGCAAATTCAAAAGAGGCAACCAGTGAGATTCAGCGATTTTGCTTATACTTCATAAGTCCGCCTTCGTCCCCAGATGCAGGTCAACTAAAATGATGTACTGGTATATGCCATGTGTATAATATGTGTATCGTAAACTATTGCGCAAATTGGTTATATGACACTCGATATTAAAAGGGCAAGATTAATGAAACCTCTGGGTGCCAAGGTTGGAAAAACTTGATAAAAAATCTAACCAACAGGATTCTGAATACATTTGAGACCACCTACCAGATTTTGGGGGCAGTTTTAATTTTTAACCTACATAACCTGGTTTTCCGAACTGTTGCTCAGGATCAACATTGGCCTTTACAGTATAAAATAGAAATGAAAAAACTTAGAACATACAATATGCAAAATGTTTTGAATAACATAGTAACAATTGGATTTAATATGAATATATATTATATTATCTACCTCCTCCACAGGCGGTTCATTACATAGATGCGGGCAAGGAAATTTAGGGATTGCATGGTGTGCCGCAGGTGGGAAAAGTAATGCAGGTAACCGAATATATCTAAATTGATTTTCCCACATTATTTTTCCCTAAAACTCTCCTCCTGCGTCTAAATAATTAAACGCCTGTGGAGGAGGTAGATATATTATGAGTAATTTTTATCAACTAGATATACAAAGGATATATAATGTCTCGTCCTTCGCAAAGAACTAGTGAAAATGTCAATGTTCAAGCAAGTCTATTTGCAGTGATATGAGGCAAAGCAGTTTTTATGGGTTTTTTCCACAGACTAAGGACAAATATACTTTGCACCTGGAGCAGGACCAAAAACTGTAACCAGTCGGACAGTTTCGGCACTGTCCCTTCTTCTCTAGGCACATTGGCATGTGGCCAACATTGTCGAAGCGAACATCAATCATACTCAATCAAGTTTTATTTCATCAGATGTTGTGTTATTGTCCACAAAGTGAAGTGTTAGATGAATTAGCTTGAATTGGTCAAATAGAATTGACCATACCGCAAATCTGACCTCCAATAGTTGTCAATCTTTGGAAGTCTGACAATTCCCATCAAATAATAAATACCAACGTAGGTTGTCATCTCTGTTTTGGTAAAATTTGGACATGAACCTGTCTTTTCGGTTGCGTACTTGTTGGATTCTTCCACCAAATTGTCAATAATGTAATCAGTCAAAAACATGTTGACATACTCAACAGGTATTCTTTCATCGGGCGCTGGTATATTGGGTTCTGGAATAAACAGGGGTACCGGACGTGGTAGAAATGGTTGTCACTTTTCAAACTTGTACTTTGACTCGCTTTTCTTTTGACAGGCCAGAGGTACATTATCATCATTGTCATCATCATTGTCATCACTACCATCACCATTAACAATTCCATCGTCGTCACCATCCTCACCACCGCTAATGCCTGAGTCATCACCATAATCGCCACGACAACCACCTTGAACATTATCCAACTCCCAATCGTCATCACCATCCAACTCATCTCCAGACGACAAAATATCACATTGGCTATCAGACCCTGTTACTGTATCCAAAATGTCATCAAGTTCAACAAAATCCTTTGCCTGTAGGAATAAAATATATATTTTGGTAAGAAATGTCACAAAAAATCAAAATATAAACAAAATATGTTATGACAATGGTTTCCTAACATTTTGTTCTTCTAGATTTGTGTGTTTTGCAATATCTTACAGAATACTTATAAGTAAATATCGCTAAAAATGAAATAATAACATAAAAACATATATCACATGTGGTCATATCCATGTTGCACTTTGCACCCAATGTTGCTTGTGAGCAACACATATATTTTGTGGTCTATTTTTCGAGTAATTTTATATATTTCCTAACTTTAAATGAATAAATATTAATTTCGAATAATGCTTGTTGTTTTCTCTATTTAAAAATACCAGGAAGTGTGAATACAGTAGAGATTTAAACGAATATTTCTTACCTTACGCGTGCTTCTTGCTTGCTTGTTGAGGCAGCCATTTTGGAAAGATCAAGAACATGTGATTCATGGCCGTGCTGTTTTCTGTAGGGCTGGGAACAAGCTATATATGTTGCTTAGCAGCAACATTGGCTTTGAAATGATGAAAATTTATATTGGTAACTAGGGAGGGGGTATACATACAATGTTGCTCACAAGCAACAGTTGCTCCCAGAGGGAGCTTAATGAAAAATAACTGATTAATCTTATTACATAGCTCGTGATGTGTTGCAGATGCAGTTTTTTCGACTTATCAATACTCACAATAGCACCATAGTTCTAAGTAAATACTGCCAGCCATGTATGGCTTGAATTTAAGGAAAGATAAAATAAAGCCGTGTGTAAGCCATGGTATACATACAGTTAGTGTAACGTCGTTGTACTGGGTGTAATTTTTCGTAGTTGAATACATGTTGTTCGTACGGCGGACATGATACAAAGTATCAATAATAGCTATAGAACTGTGTTAAGACTTGTGCACAGGAAAATAGGTGAAGTGCAGCAAACAGTGCATTACGAATCGTGACTTGTGTATACACTTTAGGTACGAGTATAAAGTAGCAGTACGATAAGGCTGTATTACAGCTGTTATAACATATCTAGCCTAAGATATTCCGGTCATGAGTGGACCGTTCAGTTGGGGCAATGCGCCAAAATTGTTCCCGCTTGAGCGAATAGCAGATGCGACATGAGTTCGAATACAAGCAAGGCGAATTAATGGAGAGTTGTATCCAACCACATCTATTAATCTAAATATGCAGTTAATTACGTGCAAATGTTTGTATGGTATTAAACAAAGTAGCAATAGCATATGCAACTGGAGATAATAGGATAGCACATAACCTTGAGTAGGCGTGAATGCATAGCGTATACTAATACAATACAAATTGTGACTCATGTAGGACAGCAGGAGAGTAACATAAAGTTATATATTACTATAGTGTAATAGCAGTAAATTCAAGAACGTTATATAGAGAAGTATATAAACAATATGGAACAAACTCACTCCGTTTGAGGTCACAGAACATGGATTGCAAGTGGCAACATTTTGGATCTGGAACACTGCATGGGATCTGGTGTGTCTCAGGGAAACTGCACCATCCTTGGACTTGTGATCTTGCGCATCACTTTGCCATTTGTTCCAAGATTGGTCTGTTTTTGTTGGGGTTTTTTTGTGTTTTTTTTTTTTTTAATTTCCACTTCTTTGTAGCCTACGTCATAGACTCAAACTCGTTCCTCGTAGAGTCTATGCAACTTTGGCGAAAAGCTTGCCCCAACGTACGTCACATCCGTTTGAGCTTTTGCATAAATTATACTGCGTTATGTAAAATTTATTCATTGATAATTTCAAAATGGCAAACACGAGTAGTGTAATGAATATGTGCACGACGTAGAATATGTCTCCTATATCTATGGGATATGTAATGCTAGACGAAATAAAATTTGAAGAAGCATTGGGACTTGCTTGTAATCTTCTTCAAGCCGAAAGCTTTTATAAAGATCAGCAAGAAGCTCTAAAACAATTCTTTCAGGGAATGAATTTTTTTTTTAGTGCCCATACAGGTTATGGCAAATCTTTAATTTTTCAAGCCATTCCAATCATTGCCGACTTTCTCAACGAACAAGTGATTGGAACTAGCATTGTACTGGTGATCTTGCCGCTGATATCGCTTATGCAAGATCAGGTGAAAAATTGCAATGAACGTTTTGGCATTAGTGCTGCGGCAACATATAGTATGCAAGATGAGGAAATATTACAAAATATTGAGAACGGTGTTTACTCATTGGTGCATACTTCTCCCGAAGCCTTGTTAGCTACAAAGAGATGGAGGTCTCTTGCCACTTCAAGCAGCTTCAGAGACCAATGTGTGGCGGTTGTTATTGATGAAGGACATTGCTTAGTACATTGGTAAGTATGTATTCTCAAATCTCAATAAAAGTTGACTTTAATGTAGTTATAGTGTAGAAAATTACAAAATACCGAAAGTGTATTTCTCGGTTATAAATGTTCACCTACCACGTTGGGATAAAAATTATAAAAGATAATATTTTCAACCAATGGACTTTACATATTCAATGTAAGTTCCATTTGGCAATTTTTCTGGAGTCAAATTGACTCAAACCAATCAATTGGATATGGTTATTTTTCCTAAACCAGAATGCTAGAGTAAAATGCTTATTTTCCCATCCAATTGTTTTCATTGTTAACCATTAAGTTACATTGCACTCTACTTTGTTATTTTAGTCTGTCTAAGGTGGGCAATTTACTCATCAAAGGGAGAGCACTGGCGCTCAGTGGGTTAATTATGGAGTGGCAGCACTCCCCCCCCCTTGACAAGTAAAATCATCTGGCGTTACACGGAATAAAATATTCTGGCATTAGATAGAGTAAAATAATAAAGTAGGGCGCATTGCCACCAATTAACCCATTGAGTGGCAGCACTCTCCTCTTGACGAGTAAAATCATCTGGCATTAAACAGAGTAAAATAATTAGGTAGGGCACATCGGGACGCATACACCTTTCGCAAAACCCCAAAAATGCCCGATTTTACAGCACTTCCAGTTTTGAAAACCTGTTACTTTGCAATATTTTTGTGTAACATTGATCAAAGCGTGAATCATTGCAACACTACCAAGCTTCAAATAAAACAACTTGAAGTTCCTCTGTATCAAAAATTTCTCAAAACTTGCATTTTTCAAAACTGGGCATTTTTTTGGTTTCCTGATAGGTGTATTGCCACTTACAAGGGTTGATGGTCAATACTGCAAGTCATACTATCTTGACATTGTTTGCATTAAAACATTCTAGGGGAAAGTCCACAAGTCAAAAGGAATTGCCATTTTGGATATGGTATTCAAAATTAATTGAGCTAAAGTCATTGCTTCCTTCAACAAGGTATGCTATATTTACTGCAACTGCAACCAAGGTAACAAAAATTACTTTATTTGACATGCTGGATTTGACACTGCAAGATACATTTTGTGTAGAGAAATCACCTGCAACAAGCAATATTTGCTATTGCTTTTGTTATATAGACAAAAGTCTAGAACTTGAAACTGTTTTCAAGGACTTGATTGATGAGATTAAAGACCTCAAGCATGAAACTAAATGAACAATTATATTTTGTCATACAAGAAAACAGTGTTCAGTCATTTATCGAATGTTTTGCCTTGCTATAAGTGATAATTTGTATGCATATGGAAAACAAGATCCCACAATGCGAATAGTTGACATGTTTCATGCTGGAAGCCCAAATTCAGCAAAGGAACATATTATTCACGAAATGGCTCGTTTGGGTAGTTATCTAAGGATTATTATATGCACGATAGCTTTTGGTATGGGATTCGATTGTAAAGATACTTATCACAGTATTAATTTTGGCTGTCCTAAGACAGTAGAATTGCTGGTACAAGAATCTGGTCGAATTGGTAGGGATGGAAAGCAGTGTATTTCCTATATTTTACACAATGGGCTGCTAAGTAGTCACTGTATAAATGGCCAAATGAAGCAGCTGATGCAAACCCAATCATGTCGGCGAGAGTATATTGTAAGTCTGTTCTCTGTTACTAATAATAAAACAAGTGAGAAAAACTGCTTGTGTTGCGATAAGCCCCCCTCCTAAGATATTCAAGTACAATTTTCAAAGCCCCCCAACAAGCAAAACAAGAACATAAATTTTAACAACCCCTAGCTCTTTATCTTTATTTAGAGAAACAAAAACTCTTTATTTAGAGAAACACAAATAGATAATGGGGACCAATAGACAATTCCCATTATAGACTAAAAAAGTATATTCCCGGGAAGGGCATACTAAAATTAATAAAATTGCAATGTTTGGTTGCAAAATGTTGTAAAATGCAGAAAATATATAGCTTTCCAAAGTTGCAAAAATTTTGTATACTTTTGTATTGAAATTTTCACATGCAATACAAAAGTATACAAAATTTGCAAACTTTGCAAGGCTATATTTTCCGTATTTTACAACATCTCGCAACCAAACTTTGAAATAATTTACTTATTTTAGTATGCTCTTTCTAGCAATAGTGATTTATTTGCATCAAGGCCGGATTTTGAGGGGGAGGTGTGGAGAGGTGCGCACCTCCTCTGAGATCGTTTTGCACCTCCCCTGAGAATTTTTGCACTTCTCCTGAAAGGTCATGCACCTCCCCTTTGGAAAATTTCAATGATGGAACAGAGTGAAAATGTGATGGTTGCTTAGGATCTACACTTCGTGACATAAGAAAGTTCTCTCTGTAAAATTGAAACAGTGATAGCCATTCATATCTGTGTCAAGTACACTGTTAATGCAATGTTTCGAAAGAAACTTTGTAGCAATTGCAATGAAGGGCAAGATTGGAGTCACACATTCATAATTCATTAATACACTGGTACATATGTACACTACATGCATACCTCACCTTGTTGATATTGGCCTGTTCTACAATAAGCCCTAACTTTCCATGGGGGTTGTGAGCTAGACTGCTGCACCTCCCCTAACATTTTTTTCCACCTCCCCCACTATTTTCACCAAAATTCGGCCTTGATTTGCATCTCTTTGCCTAGTTCTAAAATTAGTCTACAATGGGAATTGTCTATTTACATGAACATAAGAGACTTGGCTTCCATTTATAAATATTAGGTCTATAAACATTATTTGTTGTTAAGTTGTTTTGTGATGCATTTTTTAAACTAGTAATGTTTTATTCAAACTGGTAAATATTTTCAAAGCCCCCCTTCTTTCGTCTCTCTGTATTTTTTCAAAGCCCCCCCCCTTTCAGGTTTTAAAAAATTTAAAGGCCCCCCAGTTTCTCCTCAATCCCCTCCTGTACAATAAATAATGAACGGTCCCTAACTGTGCTTTGCTTTGTCAATGCAACAACTCAATTCAAACAATGGAATTTGGAAAAGGTCCTATAGCAGTATTCCAGCTAAAACAAGACCAATGTCTGATGCCCAGAGACAGGAACTGCATCAGAAACTTTTAACCTATAGAAAAACACTACTTCCAAAGAGTGTTACAGAATTCATGCCAGTTGGTGCTCCTAATGTGTTTTTTGAATTTAGTCAGTTTCAAATTAGTCAGGATGTCCATGCAAATAATGTTTTATTTGCACTTCATGAAACATTTGGTGACATAAATAAGGATGCTATTCCACTGTTATTAGAAGAAGAATTCCAGGAAATCGAGGTCCTTCAATCAGTGACAAAAGGTTTTTGGACAGTGGTGTAATATATACATATCTCCGCATTTCCAAATACTGTTCAGCATAAAGCCACTATCCCTCCCTCCCCCACCCTCTCCCACCCTAAACAATGTTGGGTGGCTGGGAAGGAACATTTTGCGCAGGTATTTCCACACACAACATCGAACGGGGGGTGCGGGGGGGGGGGTTGATTATGTTGTAAACGTACGCTGTTTAGCTATTTTGTCCAAAGTGTTTTGTCACCGATTGTCCGAAACGGTATTTTAAGCCAAATTAAAATTTCAGTTATTGAAGCTAGAATTACTTGTATTTTATAGTATTACCAATGGTGTTTACAAATATAATAGATACCGTGTTTTGGTGAGCGTAAACATGGTTAATTCGCGCATACATTGTATGTTTTTATTCTAGTTTAATCATAATGCGTTCATGCACGTTTCCAGAACCAGTCCAACATTGGGAATTTCGTAGTTTGGAACTGCAAGCAAAACTAGTAGAGCAATCTGGAATTTAGGGCAGGTAAACACGTTCGGAAGCAAATGCAATTATCTTTAAGTTCTTATTACGAGAATTAGAATGTAACGTCATCAGTAACATCTGGATTAATCTCAAAGCTGTAGTATTATAAAGTGCACAGTATGCATGCTATAAATAAGAGCTACAATCCTGGCAAAAATTATGTGGACACCTAACCTTTGTAATGTTAATATTAACATTGAGACGTTCTTTCATCAAATTTGTCGCCCCCTTCCCTCTATTCAATGTTGTTTCTCGCATTCAAATTTTAAAAGTTTCATTTACCAACATTGAATTGGGGGTAGGAGGGGGAGAAATATTCTGGCGGATTAATTATGTAGAAATAGATCTATTTTTGTTTGACGCACTCGCTGTCCACGATAATTTTTGCCAGAATTGTCTGAAATTATCACATACTTCCAACCGTCCGATTTCATGAATTTAAGGCTCGATCCAATGATAAAATAGGCTTGTTTGTTTAGCAAAAGGAGCAAACAATTAGTAAATCAGGTTATATTTAGTTTTTTTTTCTTTCCGATCTATGTTAAGTGTCACCTATCACATTACACGTCAAGTGGCCTTTTACGTGTTATCGGGATTTATACAATTACAACTTAGTCTGCAACTCTAAAAGGTAATATATTCGTATAACAAATTATTGAACATTGTGGAGAACGACGATGTCTTATAGTACTGTCGGGAAAAAGGTTGACATTAATAATTAGTAGTTAAATTTAGAGATGAGGTGACTGCCATATATGGAATTGATTGACAGGCATGAGATAAAAGGAATGTTGTTAATTGTTATTGCATGGGGAATATATGTAACTGGGAGCGATTTGGGAAGGGATTATAATACAAAACAAAAGATAAAACGCGTAATTTTGCTCTTATTGTGGGGATCGAACGAAAATCTACCACAAAGGGCACCTCCAGACGGGATTAACTCAATAAACGGGATATTGTGACAAAAGTAAAACAGGATATTTTACACAACAATCGAGTTAGAGCAAAATTACGTGGTATATGTAAACAAATACAGAGATCGAGATGTTAACACGGCAATCGCGAAATGACGTTGAAGCACAAGGAGAACAAACCGTCGCACAAAACGACATCGAGTCAACAGAAGCCAATTTCAAATCGTTGTTGAGAAAGCTCGCTTATTTTAACCGATCTACGGCTGATGCT